TGATTATTATAATTTTTCTTTAGAAAACAATGGCCATGTTTGGATGGTTCACAAACTTTCAAGCAGCACTGTATGTGGGCTTTTTTCCCCCACAAATTTTGCTTTATTTACTCTGGTTTGTCTTATAAAAGGTTCACTCTGTCTCCACAGTAAAAAAGTGTTTAGACGTTTATTTATACTAAAATTGCCGTGCGGTTAGTACGAAAACATTTTTTTTATTATTTATTGTTCTAAACAGTTTCTTTTGTATTTGCCCTTTTTCTCTAGAATTTTCTTTTCTGCAAATGTCCCAGCAAACATTAACATCTACAATGAGTTCACAAACACACAGCTTTAATGGTGTTCAGGATTCAGGTCAGTAAACAATGACAAGCTCACCATCACCATTTTCTTTTCTTATCTTTCACTCAGTTGTATATTTTACAACATGAATATCTGTGTGAGTAACTAGGAGAGTCAGCAAGGCTGCCCAAACAACCGAGAGTGAAAGAGGAAATAAAAACACTGAAGTAAGTTTATATACATCAGGAACTAAATAATATACAAAGAAAGCTACAGCTTCTGAGTATACAAACAGTTATATTGGCATAGTTTTATATTTACTTTTATTATAACCTCATTTTGTAGTTTAAAGCAGAATATAGGACAAAGATCAACTGATTATTTGGCAGTTTTTATGCAGTTGTAAAGAATAATTAACTTTTTCCCATTTTGCTCTATATACAGCAATAATTAGACCATAACATACTGATATTAACTGATTAATTAGTCCGGTTATGATGCAGTGCATTGCTTAACAAATATGTCGTTTGCAATTTGCCGAATGTTGCTCCAACATCATGACATTTCTTGTTTTGTCTGACTGGAAATCAGAGGCATTTGTCTTCCTTGTAAGCCAGTCAGTCAGATGACTGCCAGTAGACAGTAATAGGCGGAGGAGGCGCAAAACTTTGTTACCCTTTGCTCCACAAAGCTGGAGAAAAATGTGGTTCACACAGGAACAGTGCTAGTGGTTTTAAAACTGGAAGTTTTTAAAATTACGGTATTCCTGGTTCCCATTATCAGATTATTTTCATTCATTTCACAAGATACTGTGAGAGGAAATGGTAACTAGTGAGAGTTTCACGTTTTAACAGCTTCAGATGACTGCAAAAGTAGAAAATAAATAAAATATGGACTTTAATTTGGGAACATGTCTCCATGTAAAAAAAAACTGAATATAAAATATATGAACTTATTAGCTAATTTATAAACATCTGACGGTAATTTTACTAACCTAATATTATTTCTTGCCTCTGTCACTTCACATACATGAATGCCAAGTTATTTTACACATGTGAAACCTGTCCTAGGTGTGCCTTAATTTCCCAATTCACTGTAATCCAAACTCAAAGCTAAAACGGCTAAGCTTGTTTACATTAAAACATTTCCAGGGTTAAACACAAATGTAAATGTTTTACTTATTCTAGACTAAGTTAGTTAGCATGTATTAATGTGGTTTAAGTGGCTAACAGAAAACAAATGCGTACGTACTCTGTGGATATCCACCGGAGCTTCTCTGCGGGAAGAAGCCGTTGGTCGCGTACTGCTGCTCGGGAAGCAGCGGTGACCGCTCCTCGTCCGCCATGGCTGACCGCCCCGGACCCAAGTCTTTCAGCGCACCCGCTGGAAAGGGCTCTGGAGCGGCGGGTACTCCTCTGGACCTCGATAAAGATTCCCAGGGAGTTGGAAGTTAAATCACTCCAAAGGTTTGCGTTCACATGACACGGCGAAAATCACCCACTGAATGCGGAAACGACTCTACAAAAACATTCGTCACATGACAGCGGTTTGAGTCACGGTTGTGATGGACACAGGGCTCAGCCAATGAAAACGCTCGCTGCGTGAAAGTGGGTGGGTCTAAGAACGTCCGACTTCTGTGGCGTTCAATTTGTACTTGGAAGTCGGATTTTTTATTTTACACGGCAGATAAATTAACAGAAACAATAATCTCCACGAAGACGGGGGTTTCTCTTCATCTCTGACCTCAGTTAATAATATGAATACTTCTTCTAATGATTTGTTTAAAAATCTGTTGGTTTAGCATAGTCAAATTAAATGAAAGCGTAGCATATTACTGTATAAAATGTAGTAATGAATATATCCCAGGTAAATGAAATGCAGCAGATCATGTTGCTTGATTTACACGGATTTATTTGAGAACGATACACTATTATTGATAATTTTGAGACATCTATTTTTATTTCTAACAAGCTTAGGTCAGAACAAGATTTTTATGATATTTTGAGCAACAATAATTATTTGTAAAATTATTTTAGTTCACGGTAACGCAATATTAACACAATTATTAAAAATGAAATGTTTCCCATAAAATGATTTAATTTCGAATGTTTAATACCTTAGAAGTAATTATTTTTTCTACTTCCACGTATTACCAGTTCCAAAAATTAAATGAAAGGCATGTTTAATACCTTGTTAAATTATTTTTCAGATAAATGGATTTTGATAGATTAAAACAAGTTCAGTTATTTCTATTTGCATGGTTCGTTATTTTTCTCTTTTCTCTCGATTTTTCTACCAATAACTGGATAACAAAAATCTTCGGTCTGGTGCTTTGGTCTTAACAACCCCCAGTTTTGCTTACAGAGACTTCAGTGTCCATCTTATTTCTTGCTTCTGTTGTTTTGTTTATTCATTTCGGATAATTAAAATTATCAAAAATGATCCAGAAATAAATAATTTTAATAATTTATTTTCAGTGTTAGATGTTAATTAGAAATTAAAGTTTGTTTTTTGAGAACATGTTCTTGCAACAAACTTATTGCAAGAACATGTAACAATAATGCTACTTTGCACAAATGGTGTCAAATGGTGTCGTTTCTTGAAAATAGTGTCAAAACGACATTATTATCGTTTATCTTGATAACTTCTGAGATAATTTATCGTCCAGCAAAATTTGTTATTGTGATATTAATACTTGAAACCGGTAATAATCATCCAATATCTATCTGTTGTTGTTTTTTTCATTTTACATTAGAGTTGGGGTCTCTCTGTCATCTAAAAAATACAATATCACAAATGCAGTGTTTCCATTAAATAAGAAACGCAATTAAAATCACATATAAATAAGTTTGTTTATGCGATAAGTAATTTTTAAAAAAAAACATGCTTTCCATTATCCTCCTACCATTTCCTGTCGTCTTCCATTCGTAACATGATCACATGACTCGTGTGATGAGAAACGTGTTTCCTTTAAGAAAACACGGATTTCGATACGGCCGAAAAACCACCTCAACTCAGCGCAAAATCTTTTTAGCGAAAAAGTTCTACGACATAATTGGAATACCGTGAACTCGTGTGTGACGTCACGCCTAGTTCCGAATTTCCTCTCCCGAGGTAAATGGACCGCATCAACAGCATTCTGGTTTTTCCCGCGCGCCGAACTCGGATGTGACATCATACGAACTATGACTTGAGAAAAAATGGAAAGTAGCCGAAAATACAAAAAAAAAAAAAGAAGAAGAAGAAGAAGAAGAAGAAAAAGAATTCCCCGAAGAACAGCGTTTTTATTTTTAAAACACATAAACAGACATATTAAGATAATAATGTTTGGCGATATATGAATCTCTGAAGTACTCAGACTTCTAGTTAAGCGAACATTTCGTGCGAAATTAAATGGTGCCGTTCACTCCTCCATCCAAGTGAGGGCAGTAGGGTCGCATCGTCATCCACTCAGAATTAACCGGAGAAGAAGAAGAATAGAGAGCGCAGCGCTCAAAGCAACATCACGCCTCCTGAATGCAGCGTCTCCATGCTTCTCTCCACGTGAGTTAAAACCCTGCAAACAAAAGGTAAAAAGCTGCAAGACGTTGTACTAAAAATGCTTCTTTGCACTTCATAAAGGTTATGCACGAATATATTGACATGTCATTGGTTTTTACTGTCGTTAAAGCAATCATGTACGCCAGTGATTGAGTTTTTTCTGGAAAGAATCCTCGAAGTTTGTGAAAAGTTTCCTTTTTTCTCCTGCAAACAGCAGTCGACAGAAATGTTCAGTGATTTTCCTGCTTACTGACTTGCTTTTTGTGGGTTTTTGTCCCCCTTTGGAGACATTTTCCCCCCCATATTCACCTCTACAGGGAACCTCAAGTTTTTCTCCAGTTTAAAAAGTGGCTGAAAATTCACATTTTGTCGAAAAGTATTGGTTATAAATAACAACGGAAACTTCTGATAAAGGACATTTGGTGAAAAACAAAGGAGTGTTAATGTGCATAAGTTTTATTTGCATGAAAAGCTTTAGATGCAAGAAAAATCTAATGTATCTAAATCCATGTAAACACAGAAACTTTGAGGAGGATTTAAATTTTTTATTGCATTTAAGAGTGATATAAAAATTCAGCAACCGAGTTGAACCGAGTTGCGAATTAGAGTATTTTTAGGATGAGATTCACACAGTATGATAAAATCGAATAAAAATTTATTTCAGCGTGTTTACACAAACATTAAACGACATTATGATTATTAGTTATTCTCCCTGCTGCAAAACTGAGGCCATCTTCACTGCCGTTTTATTAACGCAAGAAGAGCACAGGTGATTGTTGTGGAGAACTATAACGTTTTCGCAGCTGTGGACTTTTTAGAGAAACAAAAGGCTAACAAGCTGTTAAATAGTTAGGCTATCTGCTCAGGTAGCTTCCCTGCAGTCTTCTTCACTTACATGTGATCATTGCTTGCAAAATGTTATTTTTAATGCAATATTACCTTTAAAAAAAGAGCATGTTGGAGCTTTTTGAGTGTGTACATCATTACTTTCTGTGTTTTAGACGTTAGAAAAATGTCCAAATAGCCGAATTTGTGTTTCTTGGGAAAAGGTTGGACACTTCCTGTTAGCCTGTTGACCTACTGTGTGCAGCAAAATGTTGGTAGGATGGTGCTGTTTGGAGAAAAAATGGAGAAAACTTTGGTCTCACCAATCCTTACTTTGGATTTTCAGTAAAAATAATTAACAGTAGGCAAAGTATGATGTGAAATTTGAGTGATTTTGAAACCATAATTTGTTATATTTTTACTCTGATAACCAACATATGTCTTGCACATAACTATAACACTCTGAATATGTTGTCTGAATTAAAAAAAAGACTTATCCCAGATTCGACCTGTAAATTTAACCAAAGGCTCGCAGCAGGGACAGTAAATCTCCCACTGAGAATCAGAGGCCCTCTTGTCTTTGTGACTTCAGTCACTGTTGAGTAATAACTTCTGAGTCCAACTTCTCTCTTATCTGATGGTCCCTGCCTCCATTGTTAGCAAACCTGATTTACAGCTTTGTTTTCTGAAAAGGCTAAAAGGATGTGGAATGTAGTGGAAATGGTCAAAAGTAAAAAAAAAAATGAGTGCATGTTTATTGTAAAATAAACGAGATTATATGCCAAGTGTTGAGCCTTAAAAGGGATTGAAAAATAAACATAAAAATATCAAGTTAAGTGGAAATTTTGGTATTTTTTTAGGATGAATATTATTATAATTCATATAATTCGCAAAAATAATAAAATCAGGCAAAATAAAAATTTTCCAAAACAAATTCTTTCAGTGAAAAATCTGTGAATTTTTGGTTAAACCATGTTTGTTTTTCATTCAGTTGGTAGAAAGTCAGGTAAAAGTAGCGATACTTCATAATAAAATTACTCAATTAAAAGTACATCATAGTGAAAATACTCCTAAAAGTACTTTTTTTCTCAGAAAAGTTACTGAAGTAAATGTAATTGAGTAAATGTAACTAGTTGATGCCCAACTCTGCCTGTGAGAGGTTTGACTGACAGACCAGCAGGTCATGTCTGTATGTTTGCAGTTAACAGTTAACAATATTCACCCCACTGTAACCAGCTAAACAACTTTCTTCTTACATTTAGCAACATTTCAGACAAAAAAAATGGTATTGGCCAAAAATGTACAGGTCAGGCTTTTTAAAGATCAGTAATCGTGATCAGCAAGAAAACTGCAACTGGTACATCTCTAGTTTATACCTTTTTCTTAATAAAATTAATGTATTTTAATAGAATGTATCTATATGAGTTTCGTATTCTGATTAATTTAACCAGTTTCTGCACTTGTTTCTTTTCAGTGACCTACTGTTTTTTTGTTTTTGCTGTCTTCAATTTGTCTTGCCTGCTGAAGGTAAAGTGAAGCACTGCTTCATGGGCCTAAACAGGCTTTTCCAAGGATTTTGAGGACAGACTGCAGCCTGCACTGGCTGTTAAACAACATTGTTCTTGTTGGTGATTGACAGCAGAGCTACCTCACCACATGTCTCCTTAAACCTCTGAGAAACATCACCTTCCTTATGTCTTATCTCATGTACGACCCTTTTTCCCCTGGGACACAGAATGCCTCCCAGGGGCAAAATGGACTCTTGAGTGTGAAAACTGAGAGAGATTCTTGGAGAACACCACCAAATGATGGACCTGAATCCAGCTTTACCTTCCCTGGAGCATCTCCTGGGATTCCTACCTCGTCTACGGAAAGAGAAATGAAGCCATTCCCTTTGCCAGTTAGCAACTACAGGCCTGAAAACTATCTAACAACTTCGCAAAGTACCTTTAACATTCCCCACAAAGAGGAGATCAAACACCAACCTATAGATCAGTGTGGTTTCTTCACCATCACCCAAAAAGAAACCTTATCCATTTCAGCCCCAAAGATGTCAACCTTCTCGACTTCATATGGGCATCAACTCTCAAGCACCAGCTATAGCTCCTACAACTGGTTGCCAGACCACAATGGTACGACCGAAGTTTTCTCGAAATTGGCATCAAATGCGTCTGTTTATGCCACTCGAGCAGAAGATCAAAGAGTTTCTTCTCAAGCCAGTTACTTTGACTGTAATCCACAATTGGCTGGGAACATCTTAGAAAATTACGGACTGGAGAAAGCTGACCTGGACGAACTTCTGAATTACTCTGAAGAGCAGACTACTGCCCAGAACTTGCCCTACCTCTTAGAAAGCATTCGCATTAAAAAGGCCACAAGGACTGCACCTGCAGTTCAGTCCAACTCTGACTCTACGACTCGACCCACTGCAAGCCCAACAGGAGTAGATGCAGCTAGTTTTGGAAAGCCAGGAATACTGGAGGACAAAATGTCTTCATCTACTCTTCATCCAGTGAAAATGATTAAAAATGAGCAAGCTGCTGCTGGTTATGCAGAGGTAGATGCTGTGATTGGTAGAAACATTCAGAGGAACCCTTTGTTGATGGATAATTTTCAAACCAGCAGTACAGAGGAGTCATTCGCAACTTTAACTAAAATAAAAAGTGGTGATTTGGGTTCTTCAGGTGACCAGAAAGAGTCTCTTGTTGCTGTGAATCCTCCAAGTATCAATCAGACTAGACTGCTTCAAGCTCAACCGAACCAGGCGAGTGGATTGACCCGATCCATTGGTTTTGAACAAACAGGAACGCCCAACGATAAGCCAAAAATTATTATTAAACCAGTTAAACTGTTTGACTGGGCATATACTGGAAAATCTATTACAGATGTTGAGAATACGTCTGTCAAGAATATTCACAATGCAGCTTGGGTTGGTGTAAAGGACGGCAAACAAGCACCACAGCTAAGCTTTGCAGAGTTAAAGAACAGCAGTTTGGTTTCTTCATATGACCAGAAAGTATCTGCTGCCAATTTGAACCAACTGAATGTTGTGGCCTTTCCAAAGAGGAATGCAGCTGGAAAACTGGAGACCCAACAAAACCATACGCCACAGTCGGTTCCCCAACATGAAACCAGAGATGCTACATCCAGTGGTGAAAGTAAAATTCAAGGGCAAGGATCAAATATTGCAGACTCAACGATGAATCTGCAAATGCTACAGAAAACAAATATTCAGAAAATTTTGCAGATTCTGAAGGATTTGCAGCCTGATGTGTCTTCTGCCGCAAAACCAGATTCTCAATCATCTTTCATTCCCAAAATGCCACACGTCTCGGATGCTGTTCCACCTTCAACAGTTGTATCCAAGAACCCTGCATCTAGTGTTTCTCAGTCTCAGCCAATCATTAAAACAAATGACACTGCTCATGTGCCACCTTCTAAGCCTCCACCTCCAGCCAAGGCTGGGTCCTCGAAGGATCTGCCGTCCCTTGGTGTGAGGCGTGATTATGCAGCAGTTATGCCAGGAAAATTTCCACACATCTGCTCTTTATGTAAGAAAGAATGTCCTCAACTAAAGGTAAGTGTGTTTTCTTTTCACTTCCTCTTTCATAATAGTGATTGCTTATTGCTAGCAACTTAATTATTTTAGTTATCTCTCATGCATTAAATTGAAAACATCTTAAATGTCTCTGCATCTTAATTTGTTTTGCAAATGTAATGTCAAGACAAGACTTTATTTGTTGCTGTTTATTTTAGGATTGGGTCACCCACCAGACAAGCAACCAACACCATGCCAACTGCAACCGCCTTCGCAACCAGTTAGTACATTTAGCCGTTTTTAAGAAATATTTTAAGTTTTTGGAAAGGTAAAGGGTTTTCTGGAGTATTGTTTGTTTTTTACACCTAAGAAATAACAAGAAAACATTTTAAATATAAAATATTTCTCCTTTAACCTACAATGGTGGTGGACTTTTGAGACATTATGTTATTTCAGAAAAAGTTTACAGTATCTAAGGAGACCTTTATTTGAATGTGCTGGGTTTTTTTCCCACAGATACCCTCATTGGGATGGGGAAGTGCAAAGGTAATCTATTTTTTTCAAATATGCAACAGTAACAAGAACAAGTTTTTCTCATTGCCAAGTTTCTTTTTTTCAAATGGTTGATTTGATTCTTGTTCACTAATCTTTTTAGGGATGCAGTTAAAAGTTCTAAGACTTTAACCCGAGCCTCCCTGCATCATCGTTCCCGCTCATACAGCAGCAGCAGTTCCAGCTCAGGAGATGGACGAGACAAATCCATCAGCCGTTCACGCTCCCGCTCATACAGTCCATGTCATCAGAGGAGCTCAAGAGATGGACAGCACAAATACAGCAGCAGATCAGGACATAGCAAAAACAGATCCAGTACTGGCTCCAGTTCCCGTTCGTACAGCCCCATCTGCCACGGCTCAAGAGATGGAAAAAAACAATCCAGCGGTAGTTCCTCCCAACACAGGCTGCAATGCCGCACCTCAAGGTCTAGGTCTCGCTCTTGCTCCCCACGTTATAATCGTTCTGGTTATCGATCACGTTCAAGAAGCTACGAGAAATGGTCCTCACCAAAGAGAATGAATAAGAAATCAATTTCACCAAGAAGGAACCACGAACGGCAGTTGTCTAGAGGAAGAAGTTGTGAGCAAAGATCGTCACCAAGAAGTGATCAGAAAGAGGGGTCAAAGAGATTCCTTGAGCGCCAGTCTTCCCCAAGAATATATGATCATAAACAATTGTCACCAAGGCAATGGTCACCGAGGAGTGGTTATGCGAGACAGATGTCCCCAAAAAGAACTGATAAACGATGGTCCCCAACAAGCAATGGTGAGCAATTCTCACCCACAAGAAGTGGCAATAGAAGACGGTCTCCAGTGATGAGCCATGGCCAACACTCCTCTAGGTCTAATGATAGACTAGAGTCACCACAAAGACGGACAGATGTTAGTACTTATGACCGGTCTCCGCCAAGAAGGGCCGAAGGCAAATATTGGTCTCCGCCAAGGTACCATGATCGACAGTCATCCCCAAGAAGGAATGGTGATAAAAGATGGTCACCAACAAGAAAAGGTGAATCATTCCTTGAAAGAGATGAGAAACAATTCCTGTCAAAGCAGAGTGACGAGGAAACGACTTCTGTAAGGAGAAACCGCAAGAGACGTGCGTCTCCAGAAGAGCAGCTGTCTTGTCAGAAAAAGAAGTCCAGTGTACAGATCCTGACAAACCAGCTGCTGGAAAATTCAGGTTTGATCTGGAAACATTGTTGAATCCATAAAATCAAAGTGTTAGCAATGTCTTTACTTGTAGAATGTCTCCATCTGTCCTTTTTTTTGCTAATTCTTTCTCATGCATTCTTCTCCTTCTAGCTATCGAGTCTGGCTCAGAAGAGTCCAACATCAAAGATGTTGTAGATTTAGTGGTTCCTGTTTTACTGGCTGAACTTGCAAAGAATGAGGATTCCTCACAGTCATCATTGGGATTGCCCTCACAGGACAAAAGCAGGAAGGTCTTAACACATTCATCAAGTGAAAGACGGTTATCACCATCTTCCACAAAAATACTGTCCAAACTCAAGCAGAAACATGCAAGATCTTCTAAGAAGACCAAGGTTGGTGTGCATCTTTGAATTCATCAAGCTAGGATATGTTGGCTTAATCGTTCCTACATTTTTGTAGCCTAAATAAATTGCTAAAAATTTGTGTGGGATACAAATGGTTCAAAATTCAAGGGCTTCAGATTTGGAGTTGAAGATATGCATCGCTGGTTCAAAAGGAGCAAACCTAATTTTGTTTCGTAATTCAACCACAAAGGTGGCCAGATACAATCAAGACTGTTGGACCTGATGGCCGTTTAAAAAAAAATCTCTAGCAAACATTACAAACTTGTGTTTTCGCCTGTGTGGAGCTTGTTGTCAAAATTGGCAGTAGTGGGATATGGGTGAATTTGCACACTTCTGATTTCAACTCAAACTCATTGTTGAAAAATCTTTGCCTCTCTAAGAAGCAAGCGAGGTCCAATAAAAACATCGAGGACAGACTGAAATTATGCAAATGGTAAAATGATCAACAATGGGAGGCTGGTGCAAACCTCTCAGGTGTGAAGCTTATTGTGTTTAGTATGAAGATCCAAATGGATCAAATGTAAAAACAAGCAGTTGGCTTTTTCCTAAAGCCTCAAAAGAACATTTGTGTCAGTCCCAAAACTTCTGGTTATGACTGTAGATTGTATTAATCTGATCCATCTACAATGTGCTATGTTAACAGGACAAGAAGGCCCTCGCCATCACCTCACAACATGGAAGAAAACATCATAAACTGTAAGTTATGATGTTTTTTTAGTTCAATAATTTTATGAATTATGCAGTAACAATCACCAAAAAATGTTTTAAATTCTTCCACTTTAACTTGTGTCAACAGATGCTGAAGCATTCAAGACCACTTCTGGATTAATTTTTATTTTTATTTTATATCTTGTCTTCCACTCATCCCCCCTCTTTACACATGTATAAAGCTAAGCATTTCTGTACAGATTCACTATGAATAATAGATCTGAAACGAAGATAAGTTACCATGTCTTGTTTTACTATGGTTCTCAGCTCTTAGGTTGTGAATGCCACTCATTCACACTTTGTTTGATGCAAAATACTTGATTTAAGGCCTTTTTGGAGGCTGTAAGGTTTGGGTTGTTTGTACAACAGCATAATACTATTTAAGTTTGCAGGAAAGTAAATGCTTTTTTTGTTTGAGTTCTTAAATGTATTTTTGTGTCTTTGACAGAAAATCTGGGGATACCAAGAAACTGAGTTCATCTGAGAGCTTGGACCTTCTTCCGATAAAAACGCTTTTGTCTTTGCATCAAAAACTTGTGAAAAAAGCAAAACGTTTGTCTTCCAAAGGATCACACGTCTCCAAATCCAAAACTTACTCGCAAAAAACACAGACTTTGAAGTCTGTTGTATCAGTAAAAGAGCCGTTGAAACAATTAGTTTCCTTGAGGTTCAGAAGTCTGGAAACGAGGCCTCATTTTGGCCTCTCAAATCAAAGAAGTGGACCTATAGTTTTCAGAAAAGATCAAGAAGATGCAGTTAAAGAAAAGATGAAAGTTAAAGGGACAAGGAGGATTATTATTCCTGAACCAAATGAAGAGAATAAAACTATCAGCAATGTAAAGCCTGATTCTTCAAAAACATTTGCAAGTAAACCATTGGATAAAACTGCTGAATGTTGCGGAGTCGTTGAACTAATGAAAGTTGAAGATTCTTTGGGAAATAAACAACAAACTTCAAATGGTTCACTTCAGGCTCAGGAGACGATCGTCAAAACTCAAGAAACCTCAGACAAAACTTTGCCAAAAGTCCAACCAAGAATGGATCCAGATTCCAAGAAGTCCAAAAGCCTTGGAAAGAATCCTGATTCTGGAGTCACAAGATACAAACCAGCTACTAAAGTTTCCAGAAAAGGCAAAGGCTCTCAAGTTGCAGTTGAAGACGGAACCAAGGTTGGAAAAATGTTAAAGAAGACTGTTGCTAAAACAAAGAAAGGGAAGAAAATGGTTGCAAAAGTGAAGGTCAAGGCTCCAAAAACATCTACAAATAAAAAGCTGGATGAAACTACTAGATGTCTTTCAGAAGGTAAAGTGGGAAAACTTTCTGAAACGGCGTTTGGAAACTTCAGTAAATGTGATCAAGCAAGCGTCAAAGAATCTGAACCCTCCCTTTCAGTGTCCACAATACCAGTGATGGAAAACAGTCCAGGTGATTGTCAGATTTCAAAATCTGAGATCGCTAAAGCAAAGACCTTACAATTTAACACCAATGAAAGTCAAATACAAATCAGCCAAGAAAAAGAAGAAACTTCATCTAGGGACATAAATGTGTCCTCCAAGCTGATGTCGTCAGAAAACCTCTCTGCGGTTTGTCAAACCCTAAGAACAGACAGTTCTGAAATAAAGGTTGACAAATCTGCCTTCCTCTCAAAAGACACTGCTTGGCTTGTGAAGGCAAATGTTTCAACAGCTGAAACAAACATGCAGACAGAAGGTATTACAGATGGTAATGTGATGAAAAGAAAAATGGATTTTCTTGAGACCAAAGGAGATGAAGTGACTGCTACAAATGCCTCCCCAGCTGAACCTGAACATCCTCAACCAGGCAGTGAAGTTATCACCGCTGCAGATAAACCTGCTGATCCAACGATGAGTCAACAGACAACAACAACTCGAGAAACTCCAGGCCTGGCAGCGCTAAACCTGAAGACCAAACAGCTGGAGGTTCAACCGCAGTCTGCTGGAAGCTCTGCTGAGACACCTTTGGGTTCACCACAAAAAACTGGAGGGGAGGAGGAAAATGATCAAAAAGGTATGTCGGAGATGACCTGTTTGTAATTCTTTTCACCATACCTGACTTTCAAACTCAAATATGAAATAAAAGATAAAAGACTTATGCTTTTTCTCATGAGCCAAAATCGACATAAAATTATTCCCTGGCCAAAAATATATATTTTTCAACTAAAATCACCCAAAATATATATTTTTAACCCTCTTAATTAACTAGGCATGCAATGTTTTAATTAATCAATAACAAACATTAGTCACTAGAGAAATGTGTAAATAATTGCAGATCCAGAGCTATTAAACGGTTTTGCATGTAGTCTGTAAAATCTTTTAGGCTTGATTGTCTGCTAAATTTAATTACACATATTTTTGGTGGGGGGAGGGGTGTTGCACAAAGCCAGCCCAGGGCCACAAATAGCCGTTTGACACCCCTGCTCTAAAAGATTTTAGAGAGAAAAAAATCCACCATAATGTTTTATTTTTCTTCTTTCTACAAAAATAAAAATTATTCACCCAAATTTAATTTCTGTAATAACATATCTTGTCCTCTGTGCTAATCATTTCTCTTCTGAAGTTGATGTTCTGACCCAGAAGAACCCGGTCACCTGTTTTCCAAACGCAGCAGCTCCGAATCGCGTTGAGTCCTTATTAGTGACTGTTGGCGAGAGGATTTGGTATTACCTGCAGCCACACGATTTCAGTAAGAAACCCGTTTGTATTTTCAAAAAAAAATACAGAACGTTTCTTTTGATTTTTAATGTTTCATTTTTGTTTTGACCCTCATCTAGAGTGTGTTCCTGCGGGAATTATCCTGTCGTCCAAAGTAAGATTTATTTAGCCTTTGGCTTTTTGATGTAGTTTATTGAGGAAAAATTATCCTAAAACTTGATTCAGTACATGAGTCTGAATCAAAACATTGAACCATATGTCTTTTTTTTTGTCCATGTAAATTATGTAAATTAGTCATTGCAGTTTCAACTATGTTTTTAATTTTGACATTATGTATTTTACTCAGGTTTTTGCCTTCGCAGCTTTAATAACAACCACTTTTGCTTTCATTTTATTATTTTCTTCCAGCCTTACGCTCTCAACTCAACACTGCTGTTGATAACAAACCTTCCTGTGGACCATGGCGGCTCCTACACAGAGGAGGAAGTTGTAAATGTACTCCGTCAATTTGAATTTCAATACGCACACGACAACATCTACGTTATCCCTCAGACAGGCATGGTAAGCACCTGGTTGTGTTTTTGTGTTTGGTTGAAACTCAGCATTCTGGGTGTCTTAGGGTGCGTTCACACTGCAGCCTAAAGTGACCCAATTCAGATTTTTTTTTTTTTGACGTAATGCGACCTGTATCCGATCTTTTCATGGCAGTGTGAACAGCAAAGGTTGGATTATTTTTCGAATGTGACCCATATCCGATACGTATCTGATTCAAATGCGACCTAACGTCCAGGTCACATTCATCCGAACTGAACGTCACTGTTTCTCAACAAATCTCACTATTCTGCGTCCCGATACGTGCAAGCAAAACAACAACCATGACGGATTAGATGAGGATTAAGTTGTTGATATGCTGCTCCAGTTGGACAACAACTTCAAATATGTAAGCTAAGCTCCACCGTTAGCCTCCATGTTTACTTCCGCAAACACTGAGCACTTCTTCTTTTTATGGCAGTTGGCAGAACAAGGAGAACGCTGACGCTATTGCTCCCTCTACTGCGCATGCGGGACACTTTCAGGTCGTTTACCCGTTCACACTGCAGAACGCATACAGGTCGCATTTACTGGCAGTGTGAACGGCCCCGGCAAAAAAATCGGAATTGCCAAAAAATCGGAATTGAGTCACTTCAGGCTGCAGTGTGAACGCACCCTTAATGGAAGCTAAGTGAGCTAAACGTTTTCAAAATTAGCAATAGCGTTAAAATGCTAAACTAAAAATTAGCTACGCTATTAGCAGAAGTATGACAGTAATTTTTCTAAGGTTTTGAATATCAAGATGTTTTTTGATATTACATTTTGTTCTTTTGGGTTTTTCAATATTTTCCCCCCAGCCTGTTCCTTATTGTTTAATCGTGAACTTTGACCTCAGCTGATTCAAGTGATAACTGCTGGACTTGTTCTGTAGATTTCTGTCTGTTTAAACTGGCCAGGCAGTCCCAGGAAGATTCGCTACTTTTCTATGTTTATGCTGTTTGTGCATATTGACTCATGTTACTTGACAAGTTCTGTTTTTTATGCAAAATTCACATTTTGTACAGTTTTTGTGGTTCTATTTGGGTCTGAACTGCTTCTAAAAGCAGCCCAAGCTCTAAAAGAAAAACAAAACAAACAAAAATACACGAAGTTGATGTTTTTCAGTGTCTGGAAATTAAGTCCTTTCAAAAACCTCTGGAATTTTAAGTCACATTTGGCTGGCACTGCACCATTACCTAGCAACCCCAGCCAGCCCAACCCGTTACCTAGCAACCCCAGCCAGCCCAGCCCGTTACCTAGCAACCGAAGTGGAACTCTGGCATTTTTACTGTCATATTTTCACACAGGGTACGATTGGCTTGGCCTCTATCATCAACTGAAAACTGTACTTTGGTTATTATTGTCTCATGTATCAAAAATATGATCAAATTGTAATAAATGAGTGTTAAATTTAAGCAAAATCAGACTTAATTTGTAAAAGGAAGAATTTTTTTTTTTTTTATATAATTTTTATAGAGTTTTGTTTTCTAACATTCTGTCTTTTCAGGCTTTTGTGCTCATGCCAAATGCGCGGTCATTAATTGGCCTCGTCGTCGCAGCAGTGCACGGTTATCTCTCTTTCAGATCGAAGAAACTCTTCTTGCAGATCGTGGAAACAGACATGCTAATGACACCAGTAAGCATGAAAAGAATAAAAAAAATTAAAATACTGATAAAAACAACCTGATTCCTGTCAACCTGCAACCAATACCATCAAATATCTATTTATCTGTCATTAAAAAACTTAATTTAAACAACATTAATACCCTGAAAGTAACCTAAAGACGCTGTAAAGTTTTATTTTTACTCTGTTTTTGTTTCAGCTTGGGTTTTATAAATCTCTCATCGGACTAACGCCTCTCGTAAGTAACCCAAACATTCTTGGATGGTTTTGTTTTGCTTGAGCTTATTTAGCGCTGCTGAACTGTCTAGTTTTGCCGTTCAGTGTTTGACCCTGGAAAGTAAGAACACCTTTGCTCAGTTTGGCAGCTGCAACTACATAGCATTTTCCAGCAAATCCTGTATAAAGATTTTTTTAGGAGGTTAAGATATGAAAACTCTTTGTCACTTTTTACTTGAGCTGTACAATATATCACAAAAAAGAACTGTTTGCTAATACATGCCAAATGTTATGAACTTACATTTTTCATTCTAGTGTAAACACATAACGGTGAAAGAAGAAAAAATTGCAATAATATTGTCACTGCAATATTTACAGATGTTCAGCACAAAATATTAGAATTTCTCAAATAGACATTAAAACTTATACAAAAAGACGTTGTTAGATCAGTGTGAGTTAATTGTCAATTTGGCAGCTGTGAGGTTGTATTCAAGACATCTGTTAAATTTCTTAAATTTTTATTTTACGGAGTTGGAAAAAAATTGTGACGTCAATTTGTACTAATATCATTCAGCTCTACTATTTTACAAAATGAGCAGTTGACTCAATCTGAGTGAAAAAAGATGGATCAATAACTATAGTAATAATAAAAACATATTAAATGCAAGAAGGATGATTAGGATAAACGGATTACTTTGTGAGGTTGGTGAGGAGAAACCTTCTGTCTGGTGAAATGACGTGAAACTACAAGTTTTGTCTGAACTATGATTTAAGATCTGGGGCTAAACACCAGAAAAAATGGAGGAAAAGCAAATATATGTGGTTGTTTTAACGTTGTTCCGGCTGTCGCTGACACAGAACATGAGAGACGATGGAATCAGTATAATCTACATCCAGAACATTTCGCCAAGCGACATCGCTGATCTCAGGAAAGCTTTGAGAAAAATTGGTCATGTGAGAAACTTCCTGCCTCTGCTCAACAAGGTATTAAATTTAAAGGTTTATATTCAAATCCAGGTAGAGAGAAGGACCTAATGGATTTATTTCTGTTTTTGTTTTTTTTAGGTTTTTGTTGAATTCGAGACAGTTTACGATGCAGATCGCCTCGGCGTTTGGTGCAGCCTGATGAGACTGGGTTTCGTCCACACAGTCAACAGGCTGAAAATACCAAGAAGCCTCAAGAAATCACAACGTAAGGACATAAAAGCTTAAACTTTGAATGAAATGTGCAAAAAAAAAGTAAATTTCTACATGCTTTAAGGAGATGAAGGCAATAAAAAGTAGGAAAGGGATAAAAAATGAATAATTTTAATGAGAAATATCCTGTCATCCTTTTTGTTGTTTCCGCCAGTAGTAACATCTGGTTGTTGATCACATGATTCCTGTGATGCTGCAAAAAAGCGTTTCCAGTTGCAGTTTTGCGAAATAAAGTAATTTAGATGCAGCCAGAAAAACTGTACTTCATCCTATAGGCAAAACATTTTATAGAAAATTTTTCCATTAACCAAATTTCTTTTTGAAATTCCAATTCGCCAAATTATATGTTTAATGGAAACACAGCTACATTTAAATTACTCAGTCAAACTCAGATCAGTCTATTGTTGTTTGACCAGCAAAAACATTTTAAAGTGTTTGAATGTATTTACACAATCATCTAAAACCAAAAGAAAAAGCTTAACCTGCTACAAATTTTTCTACAAAAGTAACCAAACGCCCTCTGTGATGCCGTCGTTGTTTATGCAGCACCAAAGCTGCCGCTGAAAGCTCTGCCAGACGGTGAGAAGATCTTACCCGACGCTGGAATCCCAGATGTGAAATCTGGCGTTCCTCAGGGCACCACGGCGCCGTGTTGGGTCACCATGATGACGCCGCCCTACGTCTTCCCAACCGTGTGTCCCTGGTTTAACATCCCCAGTAAGAGAAGCAAGATGCAGACACACCAGGCTCTCTGTGGGAGACTTCCCCTGATTGTGTTCATTTTTTAACACCATTTTTAGGTTTTCTGACGGTCCAAGGAGAAGAAGACATTTTGGTGAGGCCCCGTTTCCTGCATAAAAAATCAGAATCTTACTGTTGGCATTGAAAGTGTTTCTAAATCAGGGTTTATGAGTCAACAGAGGTGTTTCTTTGTCTTTGGTTTTTCTGATTTCCTCTGAACTTGACGTCCCGTAGACGACTCCCCACCCAGGCTCTGAGTTCTTCACCGTCATGCTGACGGGTTTACCAGAAGGAAAATACAAACATGAGGATGTAGCGAAGCTGGTGTGGCGTTATTTCCCCACACAGAACCTGCAGACTCTCTACTACAACATCTTGGTGCTACCGCTGCAGAGGAGGGTAAGGAGCTCTTCCTGCAGACCGATTGCCTATTGCACAAAAGTCAAACCCCATTATTGTTTCAATTAGCTTTCTTGTTTGACTAAAGGTGAAATAACATGTAGCAAGTTTTTTCTCTATAGACATCTGTTGGATTTTTGCTGTCTTACATTTGATTTTTGGGTAATTATTGTAACGTTTGATAACTAAGCAAACTCTGCAAAGATCTCGACTACAAGTTTTTCTCTTAGATCCTGCAAGTTTCTTTATCAGGTCTCTCACGGTACAGAGAGAAACCGCACAGATGGTCTAAATCTTTTGAAGGATGATAATGGTTGGCTAAATGACGTTAAGGCAGTGATGGCCGCCTCAAACTTAAAAAGTAACCCTAAAATCTTATAAGCTAAAGCTAATATGCTATAAAGACAGGGTATTTAGCAGAAGATAACACTAAAGTGCTATGCTAACATAGCATTTAGCAGCATCTAATGCTAATATGCTATACTAACAAGGTATTTAGGAGAAGCTAACGCTAAAGTACTATACTAATATAATATTTAGCAGATGCTTAGCGGTAAAGTGCTATACCAACAGGATATTTGGCTAAAACTCTATACTGACAATGTATTTAGCAGAATCTAACAGTGCAGTGCTTTACCACCATGACTCATGGTTTTGAGTTTATAATAGTTGATTATTGCTAACTCTTTTGCTGATTTAGCCTAACTGACCAGGGTAAGGCTTCGGTCAGCATCAGTAGATTTTAAACTGTTTACTGTTTTACAGCGATTCATTCTGGGTACAGAATAAACTTTATTTCACAGGTTTTTCAACTGAAAGTTTCCAGACAGCAGAGTGAAGTATCTCTTTACAACTAACCTGGAAATATTAATTTAAGGGAAGCTAAATGCACTAAACGTTTTCAAACTTAGCAATTCGCTAAAGCCCTAAACAAAAAATGAGCTCCATTCATGGCAGATTAGCAGAAACTAGTTGTTCCATTAATTTTTAAGAGAGCCAATGTGTCTGTAGTAGACATTAGTAATTTTATTAAGCAAAATAAAGCAAGTTGGATTTGAAAAATAATCATTTGCAACAATATTAACATAAGCTCAGCAGAAATATGTGTATTTTTCAAAGATAAAGTTGGGGAAACGTGAGCTGGGATTGATTTGTATCTCTTAAACTGACCTTTGGGCTTTGATATAACCTTAAACATATTTTCTTTCACCGCTAGGCCTTTGTGTTCTTCTGCGACTGGGAGGCATGCCGCAGTTTCGTCTCAGATTGTGTGAAAAAGCCGGTTTCTGTCAGGAACTGCACTCTGAGCGTCCACTTGGTGCTGGAGGACATGTATCCTGGATCCAGTGAGGTATTATCTGAGGATGCTCTCTGACCTTTAACCTCCAGCAATCATTGTTTTTGTTTACCTTTATGCTTATTCCCCTTTATATTTTTATTTAACTTGTGCAGGAAACGATGTACAGGACTCTGATGAAATGGACGAGTGGTGTAAGTTTTATGTATTTATTTTTAGATACTGGCATCAGTTGGATAAAACGATCTGCTTTAACAAACTCCTGGTTTTGTGTTTTCAGTACGTTCCGGAGCTTTTCTTCCTGGAGAAGCGTCTGGTCAGCGTGGAGATCTATGAAGCGAATATGAATCTCATCGAGAGCATCATTAAGGAAGTCGCTGCCATCGGCAGTTTTATCAACTTCGTGCCGCTCACCAACAGGGTACAGCAACTCAAACCGCCTCCACTCTTCACAATAAACCTTTTATATCCTCATTTTTAACATTAAACCATTTTTAATCATTTTCCAGCAAAGATATTTGTTACTTACCAGATATAAGTTGGGGTGGGAATTTGACGTTTATCGTTTATTGTGATGAATTTCTTATTTTGATGATGATTTTTACTGTTGTCATTCCAGTTAATTCCAGGTTAAAACTTCCTAAACTGTCACCAGGATTGTTAGTTTTAATGTTCAATGAAAGCATCAACAGATTTGAAAATGTGATTAAATGCAGTTATAATTTGCAGTTTAATGATACAAATTGAACTTTATTACAAATGGGAATGTTTTTCCAGACGCTATCATTGCTACGTCAAAGAAGTAATAAATAGTTCTTATTGTCACTTTTATTATTATTATTACAAGAGTACCACAAGATATTGTAATAAAACTTTAAGTCTATATCAACCACCTGTAGATATAAGTTTAATTATATCTACATTCATGATTATGATGCTGAATACCTTCAATCAATAAATTAATTGCAAAATGTGCAATCATGAATACGTAAATATAAATCACACGTATGTTTTCTGGTCTTGTCTTTATCTTAAATATTTATTCCTGTTTTGTTATTGCATTTTAGATTGTATATTTGGGTTTAATCCCAGAAAAAAAGGCTCAAATGATGATGTCTAGTAAAGAAACACTTTATAACAGAACCTGTTTGTTTGGTTATTGTGAAATGGATCACAAAATCACTTTACTGTGAATTTATTGAGGACTCGCAGTATCAAAGTAGTCAGTTACATTTGCTTGACTAACCTTTTAGAAAACGTGAACTTTTAGGAGGATTTAACAAATTTTATAATTGTCCTTAAAAAAATAAACTTAATATTGTAAATGTTTTTTACGTTTTTAATTTCTTCTCGCAGATTTGCATTGAAATGGTTTCTCCCAGTTGTGCTGCCAAGGTGCTGCAGGAGATGCCCTTGAGGAAAGTTTTGCCTACGTGTCTCTGGTATGTTGTCTGGCTGAGAGGTACAGATTAAAAACACGGCACAGTTTCAGAAGTTGAATGTTGTCACGGCAACATTTTTATGCCGATTTTTGACCCGATTTTCCTTTTCCCACGCTCCAATTATTGGGATGACTAAAGATAAAGTATGAGGTTTTCCTGTTGTGTGTGATCTAGTCTTCTGGGAAGGATCTTGTCACCAAGTTATTTTTATTTTACCCCTACAGGGGGAAGATTGGACGTGTTGAGAGGTGAGTGTCGCCATTTTTTAACATGTTTGTGAAGCAGAGGAAGTTCGTAAAGATGTTAGTGGCCTAATTCATAAAATGTAATAAAATAAATGTTGTTTTTCCTAACAATTAGTGTATGTGCTGAAAGATTTCTACTTGTTTTAAGGCTGAAATAATTAATTGGATTAATTGTGTTCAATCGATTATTCAAGTAATATCCAAATAATTTAGTAATTGATTAATCTTTAACTGTAATAATTAGCAGTAATTAAGCCAAAACTGTACAAAACGTATAAACAGTTTACATTTAGGTTAAGATTTAACCTTTGTCTGTAAATACACAACAGTCCTAAAGCAGCAAAGTTGTCTAGTTTTAGCTTCACCTTTTTCAGATTAGCAGAAAAAAAACCTTTTGTGATCCAATTATTAATCGGTTAGTCCTAAAAAAAATAATCAATAGGTCTATATAACACCGTATTGATAAGTCAGTCAGAGACGACTGAGCTTTTCACATGTTGATGTTGGAAATATTTTTTAGCTGCTTACAAAATAAAGGACTGCTGTTTGTTGCAATTTAGACAACAATGTTTTCTTTTTAAAGAACTATTTGTCTGTTTATATTTTTCATGTATTTTTAATATTGAATAAAAAAAATGGCTGAATAGGCATTTTTTGTCCGATTCGTCGTCTGAATAATTGATTAATCGTCGAGAAAATAAAGTAGGATAACCGATTATTAAAATAATAGTTGCAGCTCTAATTTGTTAGGAAATTTAAAGTTATTTAATGGAGATGAAACCAACATAAATTATAAATATTGATTGCTTTAGCATCACTTTGTGAATCAGAGATGAGAACAAAAGTTAATTATGTTTTAAATATCCAGTCAGAAAGGATTCTTGTATTATATCTTATATATTATTTAGCAGTTGTTTTGATGTCTCTTTGTGATTTGTAGTGTGAAGGATCTAAGTCAGCGTCTGGAAGAGGCCGGTGGGATCGAGATAAAGATCGAGGCGGAGCCGTCAGCAGCCAGCGGTCAGCCTTCAGCCTTGAAAACTCTGGTGGATTTTCCAATCTCTGAGCCTCGAGGCGATGAAGTTGCAGAAGCTAATTCTGCCGCACCGCCGACTTTAATCGAATCAGCAGTTTCTAAATCTGGATCAAAGCTGGAAGAAAAAGTATCTGAACCTCCTGATGTCGTCCTGGACTCCAAAACTGAAGCAAATTCAACAGGAGAAGAATGTCAACCCTGCAGGGAGATTTCTTCTGCAGCAGATAACGCTGTCGGCTGCACACCGCGTACGTTCAGTTTAAAACTAGACGATGTTTGTGTGGTGATTATTTTAAAGAAAAAGTGTTTGCAGATGATAAAAGACTGAAAAGATTATTTTTATCATTTGCAAAAATCATAGAAAATGTAAAAAGAGATACTAGCTGCGTTTCTATTACAAATTTATGAAGAAATTTGTCAAACAATATTTTGCAGTTGTGGTGTTTCCATTTGATAAAAAGATAATTTTTTTATTAGAAAACACCCAGAGCCATCCTACCAATTTCCCGTCATCTTCTTTGTCATTTCTCCCAGTAGTAACATCCGGTTGTTGATCAAGTGGCTCACTTGATGTGAAAAGTTTCTGTTGCAGTTTTGCAGAAAAACACAAATTTTGATGCATTTAAACCGACGACATCCTAATCCAATGTTTCTTTTAAATCGGAAAAATGACAGTTTTTTCTGTTTCCATTAAGCGTAATTCCAATTTGCACAATTTTAAGGTCAGTGGAAACGCAGCTAGTCACTCTCTTCTGGAAAAATCAGGAATTCATAAACGTATTTTAAAGGGGTAGTATAATTTAAAATCAGCTTTTCTGAGCTTTATATCATGCTGTAATCAAAAAACGCACCTGGTGTGTTGCTTTGATTCTTCCATGCATGTTGGAGAAAACATTTAACCTCTATGGCAACCATTCAGCTGCGTACAACGCCTGGTTGGGCCTAGCACCGCCTTCAAGGACTCGGCTCCTTCAGACTAGCCAGCAGCAATTAGCAAACACCTGGTGGAGCTCTGCATCTGCTGAAGGGTTAATAGAGGAACAATGTTGTGATGACTTACTGAAGGTGGAGCTTCTTAAAGAGACAGAGGCCAAATTTCAAGGCGTTAAATTACGAAGTCAAATTTCTAAGTAATACTTCATATATGTAGCATTTTTTTAAAAACAATTTAACTTGACATACTTTTTTGATTGTGCTTAAAATGGCACTTTAAGCCTGTTAAGCACAGAATACTCCTGATTTAAGTATGGTGGGATGTACCAGTTAAATTTAAATGTATTATTATTTTATGACAGACGTATCCTCAAAACGTCTCCTTGTCGTTTTGCAGTAGGAATATAAAATCTGGTGTCAAAGCTTCCTTAAGAACTTTAGTTTTCTCTTACCTTTAGATCCCGATGAGACGATCCAAACGGACCCACCTTCTAACGCCGTTGGCGCCGTTCCAGACAAGTCCGCTGAAACGTCTCCATCCGTCCAAACGGAGGCAGCAGCCGAGGAAATGGTCAAAGAACAACCAGGTTCCTCTCTCACTGCCGGGGAGAGGATAGGAAGTTTACTGCAGCCAGAAAAAATCTGTAAGAAACCGTAATCTGTGTTAATCCGACATGTGGGGGAAACATAAATAAAGTCCTACATTTAAAATCTGATTCCTGATGGTGTTTTTTTACTGCTCACCACAGGTTGTCTTGGTCATAGCATCATCATGTCCCCAAAAGTAAGTCCTCAAACTACTTATATATATTTGTGCATGATATGTTATATGTGGGTACTAAGGGCAGTCTGTCCTGACAAGTTCAAAAATCCACTTTTTTTGGTGGTTCATTGAATACATCACGACTAAAACCACACCGGGTTAGCGCAACGCCAACTCTCTTCAGTGAATACGCTGCTACAGAGTGAAGAAGACAGAAAGTTTGCTATTTTCAGCTCTTTGTTTCTCCGTTTCTTTACCTAGCTGCATTTCCATTAAACTTAAAATTTCACAAATTGGAATTATGAAATTAATTTAAGGGAAATGCCAGTAGACGGGGGGGAAATCACATTTTTGCTAAAAAGTTTTTCTGCTTGGATGAGGCGGTTTTTCTACTACTAAAATTATTTTGTTTCGCAAAACTTCAACGTAAACGCTTGTTTTTGTGTCACATGATCAGGAACAGGATGTTACTACTGGCAGAAACGACGAAGACGGAGACAGGAGGATGATTTTAGTAACTTCTTGCATAAATAAGCTTATTCACATGTGATTTTTAAATTCATTTCTTATTTAATGGAAACAACACAATTTCAAAATATTTTTGACATTAGTGGAATTTTGACAGTTTTGCGCACATTTTACTTTCTCTTTTTTTTTTTTTTTGCTACCAAAGGTGTGATACTGTGTCGCTTATTTTATTGAAAAGTAAATAGAAAAAATCTCGCTCTCTCTACATAATCAAACAGTTGTAGTTTTTTAAGCTACTTCAGTTTCAAAACAAATCTGCAGTTTTGTTGTGCATTTTATACTCTAGACTGGCCAAAATATCTGAGAAAAACAAGTCAAAACATCTAATATGAGACAAAAATACTTTCTCAACAAGAAGAAGACCAGACGGATGTTATCCAGAAGTGGCTCAAAAGCTGAAATAATTCAAGTGCAACAACTGGCACACAAACCACTGAAATATCAAATATTCACTGACTTTAAGGGCAGCGTTTGAGAAACATTTCAGGTTTTTTAATGGTTTTATTGGCTCTAGTTGCCTTTATTTGAAGGTGAATTGACAGGAAGCGGGGAATGTGAGAAGGGGGAAGACGAGGGTCAAAGGTCACCGGGTTGGGAATCGAACCTGCGACGGCCGAGTCGAGGACTGAGGCCTCCTTATGTGGGTTGTGTGTGACCCCTGCACCCCTCATGCCACGTTTTATCTGTCAATATAAAGTGAATTCAGAAAAATCTGCGTGGGAATTTTTGTTAAATTATCAAAATGTATCATTAATAAATTTTTAACAACTGCTCCAGATAAAATGTGACAATAAAAGCTTATTTTGTTCAATGAAAACCAGTGGATTAATGATTATACTTTCTGAATTCACAGCATTATTTCTATTTCCTGTGCGTTTTCTGAATCCTGTTTTTGTCTCCCAGCCGTTTCCCCTTCAGTCGAGGGTTTTGTTGGTGACCAACCTGCCACCGTATCGGGACGGCTGCTACTCTGAGCGGGACATCAGCAACCTGCTGCACAGATTTGGCTTTCAGTACGAGGACAAAAACATCTTCGTGGTTCCTCAGGCCTGCATGGTAAACTCCAGCAGATGAACCTTGCAGCTGATCAAACTGATTACTGCAGAACGTTAACGTTTTGTTACACGTTTTTGGTTTTTCAGGCGTTTGTCCTCATGGAAAGTTACCAGAAGGCTCAGGAAGTTTTCATAGCTGCGAACGATAGTTTGACTCTGAATGGATGTAAACTCTCTGTTGAGATAATCAGCAGTGGGGTTGTCATGACAACGGTAAGATGGATTAAAACAGCTGGAGATCATGATTCGTTTTCAACGTGTAGTTGATGTCTCTGCAGTTGAAGCAAATAGATTGAAAGAAATTATAATTTCTATTCTCTAAAATAACTTTTTTAATTGGTCTGTTTGAGTTGCTTTGCCACGACTGGATTTGTGTTTTTCTGTGAAGGAGGATTTGGACCGCTGAGAAAATATGGACTTTTTTCCAGCTCACAACTCTGTTTTTCTTAGCAGTTTGACTTTTTTTTATTCTCACTTTTTTCTCAGAATTTTGACTTTTTTTCAGAAATTGATTTTCTCTTAAGTTTGACTGGTTTTGAAATTATTACTTTTTTCCTCAGAATTCTTATCTTTTTTTGTAATTCTGATTTTTATCAGAATTTTGATGTTTTTGTCCCAACAAGCTCTAGAAAATTCATCCATTTTTCTTATTTTATCACTGCAATGAAATGTTGTTTTATTTTCATTCCAGTTCAGTTTGAATTGTTTCTGAAAATGTGCTCTACCAATAAAATGACCATTTTGCTCTTGTTGCAGTTTGGATTTTATAAATCTCTAATGGAAATGATCGATTCTGTAAGTATCCGCACCTTTTCACCGTTTCCTTAGCGTTCTGCTCCATCGTTCGTGGTTGTTAAATGAGGATTTATCAAATGAAGCTCATTCCGGTCTTTCTGCTTTGTTTGGAGCAGCCGGTCACCGACGACGGAACCAGAACTGTTTACATCCAGAACGTCTCGCCAAGCGAAGCCCGGGGTCTCAGGGAAACTTTGAGGAAAATGGGCTCTGTTAAAAACTACCTTCCTCTCCTCAACAAGGTAGAAACTTCCTCTCCTTTGAAAGAGTACGGGTTTGACTCACCGACCGTCTGACTCTGGCGTTTCCTGCTTCAGGTGTTCATCGAGTTTGAGTCCGCGGCTGATGCTGATCGGATCGGAGTTTGGTACAGCCTGCAGAGACGCTGCCCTGCTCATAACGTCTGCAGGATAAAACCTCCCCAGACCGACGTCACATCATCGAGTAAGGAAAACGTTTCTGAAAGCAACAGATGCGCTATTAAAAATCACAGCAAATTCACTGACCAAACAATAAACTGGTTTTCCAGTTAGTTTGTTTTGTTCGACAGAGCGAAACACAGCAGCTGAAAATGTAACAAATGTTGCTATTTGGTCCCCAGTTGCAGCACACTTTTTATTTCAGGTGTGAAATAAAAATATAATACAAACTTATACATTTTAAATGTATTGAAAATAAAAAAATATACACGATATAATGTATTAAAAATATGTTAGAAATATGTAGAAACATTTTTTTAAATTATATATTTAAAATTATCTTTGAAAATATCCATAATTTGATAGAAATATAATTTCCCCCTTTTGTTGTCCATTTATAATATTTTAACTGGATCATTTGCAAAATCTCCACCAATGTTGCATAAACAAGTAGAAGATCAAAACCATCGTCTGAATGGAATAGCAAGATTTTAATCAACTGTTTTTAATCTTTGAAATGTCGCTGAAAGAAACGATATTCATGTCAGGGACTAAACCTTGTTTCACTCAAACACTGGAGCTTAAAATTTCCCAATCTGTCAGAGTAAATTACCTTCAGTGAAACTATACTAATAAAACCAGAGGAATGTGTTAAACGTTAAGAGGGTTAATCATCACAAAAACATGATTTTCATCTGATTTGATTACAGTTTTTTGTCTTATGCATAGATAGAAATAAAAATTGTCGCTGTAACTTGTTTTCCTTTTCACAGCACCACACCTGGCAGCTACAGCAGCGCCGGAAAGCAAAGATGTCGTCGCCGGGCCGATCGTCCCGCCGATCGTCCCGCCGATGAATACCAGCATCCCAGAGGGCAGCTGGGCACCATTTTCAGTCGCCATGACAACCGCTCCGTTCCTCTTCCCAACAGTGTCGCCTTGGTTCGTCATTCCAAGTAAGAAAAAAAATGTGGAAACCAAATGATCAAATATCACAAATGAAGCGATAAACTTAATCTGACTTCATCTCCTAGAATTTAGGACGGTTGATAAAGAGGAGGACTTGTTGGTAAGTGCGGTTCCATGTTTGTGTTTCATTTGAAAGGTTTAGGTGAGTTTAGCATAAAAATCTTTCACTATTCTGTCACTTAGGCATCCGTCTCTGTGGCCTGTAAGTTTTCCACCGTTATGTTGACGGGTTTACCCGAAGGAAACTACAAACACGAGGATGTCGCCAAGCTGGTGTGGAAATATTTCACCAAGCAGAATCTCCAGACTCTGTTCTACAACATTGTGGTGCTGCCACTGCAGAAAAGGGTAAAAATCTCACGGTGCAGACTAAGATGTGCTCAGATATTCCTGTTGTAACGGAGTCATTAAAACAGGAATGACCCCATTAAAACAGACTAAGATGTGCTCAGATATTCCTGTTGTAACAGGGTCATGAATGTTTTTTAAAATGTATTTTCCATTCAAGGCTTTTGTGTATTTCAACGATTGGACATCATGCAACAACTTTGTTCAAGATTTCCTCAAGAAGGGAGTTTCCTTTACAAGCCACAAGCTGCACGTCCACCTGGTCTTGGAGGAGATGAATCCTGGATCCAGTGAGGTATGGCGGTCAGAGAGGTGGTCAGCAAAGTGGCATTTGTCTTTAATTGTAGCATATAGAGCAATTAAATGAAAAAAGGCAAGAAAAAATATTGAGAATAAAGATCTGGTGTTAAGATTTGGGGTGAGTTATCATAGTTTAGTTGACAATAGAAAAAAAGAGCTAAACTAGCCAAATGCTCAAACATTATCTCACTCCCTATCTAGCTAACTGCCACAAAAACACAACAAACAGCCAGCTACCAATAAAATGACAAGTTGTGTATTGGAAAAACTATACAGCTAAAGACCTGCTAGCTTGGAATTTAGCTTGCTACCAAAATATAATTAGCTTACCACCAAAAACTATTAACCAAAAGCCACTAGCTAGTAACCAAAAGAGTTCATAGCAGCTAATATATTGATGAATAAATTAGGTTCAAAATTCAAAGAGTATTAACTAGTAAATTCTTCTAGTTTCTTTCCTATTTCAGGTGCTAACTAACTACCTAGCTTTCTACAAAAAAAGAGCAAACAACTAACAACCAATAAAATGCAATTTGTGAGGAAAAACATCTAGATGGCTAAAAACGTGCTACCTCAGAAATGAGCTTACTACCAAAAACATTAGCCAGGTTTCCCCTCCCAAAATAAATTAGCTAACAACCAAAAAACTACAGTAAACTGAAGGCTACTAACTAGCAACCAAAATGGTATAAGATTTAATATAATTAGGAATCTAGTTTCATATTTGAGCCAATAATAAACTGCTAAAACAAATAATGTATAAATTAGGTTTAAATTTCTACAACATAGAATGGAAATTCACCAACGCTTTTCTAGCTAGCTAGCCATCTATCTCATTAGAGAAAAATACACACCAAACATCTAACGAATAATTAAATGGCAAGCTGTCAATTGAAAAACAATTAGTCAGCTGAAAACATGCAGAATAAGAAATTAGCATGCTACAAAACAATTTGCAAGGAACTAAAAAAAATAGAAAAAATAGTCAGCTGCTATAAACCAAAATCCACTGGCTAGCAACCAGTAGTTCAAGATTTAATGTCATTATGTGGTTCAGCTAATAAATTGATACATTAGCAACTTAGGTTGAAGTTGTTACAAAATAAAGAAAATTAACTTTTCTTTAGCTCTGCCACTGGCAATCTCAAGCAGCCAGTTAGCTACTTAAAGTAAGTAACTAAGTGTAAATTCAGCAGTTGGCTAGCAACCCAATAAATACACCCACAAACACAAGAAAAGAGGGTCAGGTAGTGAGATTCAGGAATATAAAAAAGTATTGGCAAGCTCCAACAAAAAACCTAATTACTTGGTCAAATCAGAAATTTGTTTTAAATAAAAGCATTCAACTTCATGCTAAATCTTTATCTTATCTTCAGTTTGTGACATTTATCTTACATTTGACATTTTTGGAAGTTCATCAAAACAAGCCTGATCAGATGAGGCTCTGATAAATATTTTCAGTATCAAGCAGTGTCGTGTATTTTGTGATGACTGTAACCGTTTATTTGGATGCTGTCTTTTTAGGACATGATGTACCAAACGCTAATGAAATGGAGCAACGCTGTAAGTTATAGTTCCCTATTTTAAATATGGTGTCATGATAGAATGAAATTACATTCTCCATTAAAATGTTTTCCAGCGTGTTCCTGAACTCGAGTCTCTGGATGAGCGGCTGGTGTGTGTGGCGCTCTCTGAAACCTCCCTAAGCCTCATCATGGCCGCCGTAAAATTAGTGACAAACGTCTCTGCAGTTGTTAGCTTCCTGCCGCTAGCCAACAGGGTGAGACAGCAAAAACAGGCATTTTTAAAAAGTTTTTACTTAATTCATCTGAATAGCTTAGATTCAGCACTAAAAGAAAGAGTCAAACATCTTCATCTTTTATTTTTGCTGCTTTATTTATGTAGTTGTGCATCGAGATGGCTGAATCCAGAGGAGTAGATCAGGTGGTGGAGAGGTTTGCACGTTCGCCAGAAGACTGGTACGACCTGCCATTTTATAAGAAAACAATGTTTCATTCCTGATGGAAATTAGTTTGCAACATTCATCAACTTACTAGTTTCGTCTTTTTTCCTCTCGTTACAGGAATAGTCAAGTTCAGAGTGTTGAATCGTGAGTATTTTATCGAAGAAAGCAGGAGAAACGACGACCAAAGTGATGTCTACAAAAGTTTTTAACTTTCAAAATGTTAAATCTGAAGCTTCACAGTCATGTCTTACATTAACAGAACTACAGAGAGTTTGAAGTCCTTCTGTTTTAATACGCTGTTTCTTCCACCAGGTCCATTTAAAGCAGGCCTAGTATGCAAAACTCACATTTTGCAAATTTTTTGTACTTCCATTTGACTTTCTTCCGCTTCTAAAAACGGTCTAGGCGCTTTAAGTTAAAATAAAATAAAATCACCCAGCTGTTTTTGGCAATAAGTTGGTGGTTTTTGGAGTCTGGAATATGAGCTGCTTCAAAAGTCTCCCCATTGCTCCGTTACCTAGCAACCCCAGCCAAGCAAAGCCCGTTACCTAGCAACCAAAGTAGAACTCCTCCACATTTTTTCAGCTGGTTTTACCACTGTGTACACTGTACAATGGCTGCTGGGAAAGACAAGTGTTTTGTTGTCGGCTTAACTTGCTGCATTCTTGTTGGTTGTGCAGGAGGCTCCACTTCTGCTCTTCAAACATGTATGGCTATGTAATTGCACATCTGTTTCACCTGCTAGTGTAAAACTCTAAAACAGCTCAGGCGGAACTGATCAGAATAAAATGTCATTATCTAAGAATGATTTTGTGCAACAAATGTAATGAACATGTTTTGTATAGGCCATAGATCCATCCTAACCTGTTCAAGAAAGCATTAAAACTTCTTTCTACATTCAACATGTTATTTACTTTACCAGTAAAGATTTTATCATAAGATTTTTAAAAATATAATCCAATTTCCTCTTTTAATTTCAGTGTGAAGAGCCTAAAACAGCGTCTCAAAGACTCAGACGAAACAAAAATGGATCTTGAACGCAACACCGAAGACATCAATGACAAAACTCCAGCAACAACAAATGAACCACAACCTCCTTTGTCTGATTCTCCCGTTAAAACAAAACCTCCCGTCCAAGAAGTCACAAATCTTCCAAACAGTGCTCCGTCTGCAGAGGAATCGACTGCCGTTGGATCTGGGACAAAGATGGAAATTGCTGCAACAGAAAATGAAAATGTGAAGTCCAAAGTTTCAGAAAAACATCCTGGCGTTTGTGGAAAAGTTCAAGAATCTGCAGTGGTGCCTAAAGACAAAACTGAGACCGAGGAGAAGAAGCAACAAGCAAAAACTGATGAGGTTGAAGAGGATAAGAGTGAAAGTGCTGCCAAGTCCAACGTTGGAAAGACTGAAGATGAAAAACTTCCACCTGCTAAACCAACGAAGTCTCTGATATCAACCCCCACGGTTAAGCCATCTAAACCTTTAACTATTCCTCGTAAAAGCCCACAAACCGGCGTACAAACCTCTGTGAAGGCGCCGTCACAGCTCCAGAAACGCATAAACCCAAAACCATCGGTGTCTGCTGAAAACCCGGAGACCAAAACTGACATTTCAGGAAACTCAGGTAGTTCTGGTTGGTGTTTGTTTGCCTAAATAAACTAAACTGTTGGGGCTGGACAGTATACTTGTTTCATAAATTGATTATTTTTGTTTGTTTTTAAATATCAGACATAAACCTGGTGGTGTGAAATTCCCTGTTTTATCCTCAGTTTTCTCTCCACGCCGTTGATGGTTGTTTTTCAAGCAGTTTACGAAACAAAATGGCGGAAATTTTAACTGCCATTTACTTAACAGGGTGTTGCTAGGCAACCACGAGTAAGTGAGCAGGCTGTTGCTAGGTAACCAAAGGGTAACTGCTTAGTTTTTTCTTCTGCCTAAACCTCCAGGAAACTGTGCGGCTCTGGATCGGAGTTCAGTGAAACTATTGAATACTCTATTGATGTAGATTATTGATTTATTGTCCAGCCCTGTGATTAAATGTTTTCATGTTTCATGATGTGATTTTAGTCGTTAAGTGAAATTCTCCAGATCATTATATTGACGTCTGTTTCAAATGTAGCTGCTGTGAAGAATCCTGCATCTAAAGTTTCAGCAGCTTCAGCTGAAATTGACCCAAACTCGAAATCCTCGACAACGGCAACAAAATCGGAGCCGCTTGCAGCAGCAGCGACGTCAACCGAAGCGTTTCCTTTGACCCCCGGAGAGAAGCTGCACCATTTCCTGACGCCATTTAAACTCCGTGAGACACGAACGGCGTACAGAGACCCAAAATGTCCTCTTTAGGTTCTGGTTTTCATTTATTTACTGATCTCCGTTTCTTCTTCTCAGGTCAGCTTGACATGCACACCATCTTGTCTCCAACGGTAAGTTTTCTTTCTGCAGCTCAGTCTAAAGTTATAAAACTCCTCTGAAAGCTGGATTTTATGCATCAGAAATTTTTGAATTTCAATAAAGTTGAATGTTTGATTTCTGTATAAAGTGCTTGGCACTCAAACTGTGCAGTTTGGTAATAAGGTTCAATCTAACATTTGATTGAAAACCTTTTTTACAGTTGAAATTGGACATATAATGACAATAAAAAGACATATTTATTTGTCATTGTCTGAAGTTAAATTAGATCAAACTTCTCTTGTTTTTGGTTTGTAACAATTACCAGAATTATTTCTATTTACTAAATGCCAGAAAAAGTAGCGGGAAAATTTTTTCAGATTTATTTATATATTTGAACTTTCTCTGACCTTTAGGTGCATGGTGTGTGTGAGACATTTCAAAACATAACATTTTGTCATATTTTAATGTATCCCTGCTGCATAATATGAAATACAGTACGATATTAACAGTGATAAAAGAGATTATATAATAGTGAATTTTTTTAGTTTGTTTCGTTTTTATCTCCAAAGTTTGGAAAAGTTTGAAAACTCACCTTGATGAAACGTTTGAAGATAAAAACCATGAAACTACATCATTTTAGCTTCTAATTTTGAAACTCAAATTTGGATTTTAAATTACTTGTCGTCAGAATTTTGATGCTTAATTTGCAAAAACAAACTATTACATTTAGTTTTTGGTGGTTTCATCTTGCGCCAGCCTTCCCATAACATAATTTTCGTTCTGAACGTTAATAATTCGTCTGCTCTGCAGATTTTCTCTCTCCACATCACCCTGGTTGTCACCAACCTGCCTCGGTGGTTCGACGGCTCCTACACGGAAACTGAAATCATCAACGTCCTTCAGAAGTGTCGAGTTCAGTGTGACGAAAATGAAATCTTCGTCGTTCCCCAGTCGCAAATGGTCGGCACCGATCTCTGCTGAGGCTTTGCTTGCTGCTGTTTTCAGAGACTTTTAAATTTCCTGCTCTGCTTTCAGGCTTTCCTCATCATGCCGAGGGTGGCGCAGGTGCAGCATTTGTTCAGAGCGACGCCGTGGAGGGAGCTTTTCTTCAAAGGACGAAAACTTGGATTTCATGTTGTCACCAGCTCCACACCAATGACTCTGGTAGGTTTTTCTTATTGGGATGTGTTTAGAAAGACTGTTAGGCACAAAAATAACCATTCATTGTTTTTGCAAACGGAAATATTCTGATTCAAGTGTGTTTTGTTTTCTTTTTTCAGTTTCGGTTTTATCGATATTTGATGTCTTTTACCGATTTTGTAAGTATTGGACCAACGTTTCCTCTTTCTATTTTTCTTAATATCTATGCTCGTCGCTTTAAATTTTACACAAATTTTAACGGACAAAGAATCCAAATAAAACTGTATGCAACACGCTTTATGCTTTTTAAATGCACAGATGCATTGCAGTGAAACATATGGATTTGTTTGCCCTCTTTCCAGCCGACATGTCAGATGAAATTGGGCACAAAAAACGTGCTTTACTTCCCCAACATTTCGGCAAGTGAAGCCAGAGACCTGAGGGAAGCGCTGAGGAAAATCAGCTGCTTTGTAAACTACCTGCCTCTGCTCAACAGGGTAAAAACACACTTTAAAACTCAGGGAGATGGAGCTGCTCTGTGTTGATCTGTTGTCATGTTCCAGGTTTTTGTTCACTGTGAAACCCCGGAGGACGCCGATCGACTCGAAGCTTGGTACAGCTACTGGAGATGGAGCCGATCCCACGACGCTCAGCAGACGGGTGAGACGGAAACACTGAAGTCTCTGCTGTCAGAGCGTCAGGATGCAGCGGCAGTCACTCTAACACACGGATAAAACACTGTAAAAACAAACGATCAGTTAACACATGAAAGGACTTTAACAGCAGCAGGCTTTGGTGGAGCTGATGTGAGAATAGATTTCCCTTCTTAGTCCAGTATTATTACTATTATTTTTTTGTTTGTGCAGCGCTAAGCGGATCAGCTCATGGTTTGCAAATCTGGGAGAATATCTCGGTTGAAACCAGCGTCCCGCGAACAGCAGGCGCCGTTCCAGAGGGAACCAAGGCGCCTTTTTGGATGACCGTGAAGAAAAGTCCTTATGTCGTTCACACTGCGTCTCCTTTCTTCAAGGTCCCAGGTAAGATGAGTACAGAGAAGCCAAATGTAGCTGAAACCCAAAACATTTTGACTGTAAGTGACTGTTGAGGAGTTTAAACCACCGATTGGCTTATTGATCTGATCAGATTGGTGTTCAGGTGATGATCACAAGTTATCAAAAAATGAAGCTGAATTAATCCCATCTAGTTACAGAACTACAAAAAAAGCACCAAGAATTTGCTCCCACTTGGATTTGAGAACAACTTCATGTCTGATTTTTCTATACTTACAACCGACACACGAGCCAATGCTGATGTCTGATAATTTTACGCATGAATATTTATTGTGATCTGCCTTTTTGTCACTCCCAGCTTTTCAGACAGTCGACAGGAAGACCTGTGCCAGGGTACGTTTTATTCCTGTACTTGTATTTACACATTTTTGAATCATATTAATTAGCATTCAGTGTAAATCCCAGTTTCCTAAAACATTTTTCTAATTAATTGAAAGCTACTCTATTGGTTGCTAAGGCGACTAAGTTTTCAAGCCTGTTCCAATTTTCAATAAATAAAAGTTTACTTAAATTTTTTTCCTGTAGATTTCTGAGCGAGATTTGAAGTTTGCAGGCATCATGTTGACCGGTTTGCCAAACAGAAGCTACACACACGAGGAAGTGGCTATGCTGGTGTGGAGGCATTTTCCCGAACAGAACCTTCACACACTGTACAACAATGTTGTAGTTTTACCGCTGCAGAGGAGGGTAAAGGCCAAATTCAGCAGTCTTATCACTTTTTCCTTGATTTAAGATGTTTTTAGTTGTGGGAACAGCGTGTCATATCTCTTCATGTCTCTTCTTTTGCAGGCTTTTGTGATTTTCAGCAGCAGTTGTGCTTGCATAAGATTTCTTAGAGATCGAAACAGGAAACGAGTTTATTTCAAAGGCTTCATTCCAAACATCCATTTGCTGTTGGAGGATCTCAGTCTTGGGTCCAGTGAGGTATGGGAGGTGCAGTACACAACTGGCTCTTTTCCATCAGTAACTTTTGTTTACTTATATTTGACTTTAATTAACTTACTTTACACTTTGTGTAAATCTCTGGCTAATGTCCAGGACATCATGAAACTAACATGAATGCATGTTGTTGCATGTTACTCGCCGTCCATCGCCACGCTGTCACAGTAGATGTTCAGTCTCTGTTGACTAAATGAGACCTGGAGATGAAGTTATTACTAATTTAGTAAAGTGAACCACAGCAAAGCAGAAAATGACGCAGAAAAAAACACTAAAAAACAACTTGATCTCTGTTGGCTACGCTACACACAGACTTATAGCAACTGGCAACAACGCCTCTTTATGTTTCACGATTCAACACTGAAAAAACACTCAAACATTTCCCACACAAAGAACACAACATTCAGTCCATTACAGATTTATGTTTTCAGGTTTGACGTTTATTTTTGCTACGAGTTCCACTGCACATCTACATGTTACGGTTGTCAAAGTCAAGCTAGCATAGCTGAACTACTCCCTCCCTATTTTTTTTCTTAATTAAAACTTTTTCCTGACCTGATCTAGTTGTCGTTTTGTTGACATTTAGTAGCAAAGCACTACGTTCGTTTCCCTTTTATATATATCAGGTGTACATTTAGGATTTACTGCATTATATTGACAACTTAACAGCTAAAATCAATGCTAGTCATCGTTAGCCAGCAGCTTTCTGCCCTCCAGCAGGAAAATGGAGGCATGACGTCACACTGCCACGGGTCCCTAAGTAAATATAATCCACTTAATGTTGTTTCAGGAATCCATGTTCAGAGCTTTGATGAAATGGAGCAATATTGTGAGTGAATTTTCACTTTTTTAAATATTTTGCCATGTAAAATCTGCTACGACTTTAAATTAAAACCAAAAAATGTTCTTCTTTCCCCCCAGCATGTTCCAGACCTGACGTCTTTGGGGGAGCGGCTGCTCGTTGTGGAGGCTTCAGGGACAAACGAGCATATCACAATGATGGTTATAAAAGAAGTGGCAAGCATCGCTACTTTTGCTAGCTTCCTGCCGCTTTCCAACAGGGTATAACAAAAAAGAAATACTTGGCTGTTTTCTGTGTTTTATGTGTTTTCTTTTTTTAATTCAGTTTGCTTATGATTTTGAGAAAATCCATGTTTTGACTTATTTTTATCCAACTGGAATTGAATTACCATGTCGCTGGTTTTAAAAAGAAGTTTAGCAAATTTAAATAAAATTTGTATTTTCATTTTTTTACAACACAAATTAAACATATTTATTTGTTAGGATGTAACAAAATTGTAAAGGTCATGCCGAAGTATCAGTAGAGTTGAGGTCTTTTTTGTTCATAGACTGATAATTAATTTTCCCCCCTTGCTTTTGTTTGCATCCACTCCTGACGATTCACGACAGATTTACGTTGAGATGGCCGAGTCCAGCGGAGTCAGAAGAGTGGTGGAGAAGTTGTCTGTTCGCAAATTATCTCAACAGCATGAAGCTTGGTAAGTGTGTGAACTTAGAAGTTAATGATTGAATAAAAATATAAATGAATGGATTTTTTAGATTGTGTTTCTGAAGCTTAACTGTGTTTTTTTTTTTTCTGCGTTTTTTAGGAAGCTAGTCGGACGTGTTGAAAGGTGAGCATTTCTTCTGACTTCAAGCATGACACAGTATTTGAGTTCAATGAGTTAAAGGGGACCTACTATTCGAAATCCACATTTTTCAAATTTTTGTTCTTCCATTTGGGTCTCTACTGCTTCTAAGAGCTTAGGGAAAAAAAACACAGCCATTATTTTGGGAATAAGTTGATGTTTTTTTGTGTGTAGAAAATGAGCTGTTTTAAAAAATCTCCTGATTGCACCGTTACCTAGCAACCGCAGACAAACCCAGCCAGTCACCTAGCAACCAAAGCAGAGCTCCAGCAGCTTTGGTCGGCTGGTTTTACCTCAGCTGTACAATGGCTGCTGAACAAGAAATGTATTTTGTTGTTGACCTGCCATCCAGAAACCACTTGCTGCATTTTTGTTGGTTGTGTAGGAGGCTCTACTTCTGCTTTTCAAAGATGCACGGTTATATAATTGTGCATCTGTTTGCAGCCGTTCAGCGGGTGAGAGTGCAAATCTTGAGCTGGGTAGTGTGGCCAATAGCCGCTTATTTGGATTTAAAGTGACAAGATGCCCCAAAACCGTTCAAAATGATCAGAACTGAGCTAACTGAAATCTCCTTATCTACAAATTATTTTGTGCAAAAAAGTGTTATAATCATGTTTCATAAAGACATATCCTAACCTGTTTAAGGAAGCATAATTGATCATCTTTAAGATTTGTTTTCCCTAACATTTGTCTGCTTTTATTACAGTTTGTTGAGCCGAAAAGAGCGACTGAAGGACTGTGAGAAAATTGCAGTGAACCTTGAACTCGGCACCATGAGTGTCAAGCCTGAGGCCGCACTACTGAAGACGGTGGACAAGGAATCTGCAGCATGTGACCCTCTGCCAGACAGAAGCCTGACCACATTTCACAGAGGAACAGGATTCCTTCAGGTTGACTGAAACACTTTGAACTAAAAACAGCACAAACTTCAACAAAGCCTTTATAAATGTCCATTCAGATCTTTACTGACAAAATTATGGAGTATTTGGTTGGAAAGGTTATTAATCTTTCATATATTTTCCTGTAGATTTCCAGTGGAAGCAGCAGCAGTTTTAAAAGTTCCTCTCCCTCCAAGCCGATCACAAAAGAAATGAAGATCTCGCATTCATCGTCTGTAACTAGAGATATCCCAAAGTCTAATAAAGACTGCAGGAGCTCTGCCTCATCAACTGGAAAAAGCAGCTTGAAGTCTAACGCCACGTCTTTGTCATTAAAAACACAAAAAGACGCACCTGAGTCTATGAAACCTCAAATTAATCAGTCATCTTCTGCAGGTGGCAGTAAAATTTTTCCTTCCACTTCGTCAAAGACTTTTAAGTCTTTAAATGAGAAAGATCAGCAGAGCAAGAGAGAGGCTCCTCTCAGAGCATCTCAAACATCATCTGCATCCTCAACTCAAAGCACCAGTTCAGCTGCAACATCTGCAGAAACTCCTCAGTCGGATAAACATGGAGCTGCACCTGCTGCTGCAGTAGCAAAGGCTGACCACAAGGTGTCAGCAGAGAGCGGCACTGCAAAAACTCAGTTGGGCCCAAGAGTGGCAACGTCAAATTTGAACCAAGACTGTTTTAAAGCTGAATCACTCAAAGAGGGAACTGAAAGCAAAGAAAAACAGAAGAATAATGTGAGGAATCCTGTGAAGGAAGGAAATGACCCTCTTGATTCAAAACATACTGCTATCAAAGAGCTTTTGGTTGCAGTTAAAGAGGAAAACCTTCTGGGGAAAGATGAGGATTCAAAAGTAAAATTGGACCAGAGGATGAAAACTTCTAGCGGTGAAGAGGGAGAGACTTTACCAATAAAACAGGAAAGTTCAGATAACAAGTATGAGACAAAAATAAAAGAAAGCAGTTCAGAAACTGGAGAGAAGACGGTTTGTAAGGACTCTGTTCCGGATGAATCTCCCATACATACATTTATTAAGAAAACTGACAGAGGAGCCAATCAAGACAAATCGGCCACTGTTGTACCAACAATCAGTCAGTCAGGGAAAGATGTTTATGCTGAACAAAAAGAGATTAGAAAGGATGGCCTTGGAGCTTCTGTTCAAGAAGAAAAACCTTTGATCAAAGACGAAGGTTTGGCAGTAAAACCAGACAAGAAAACCAGAGTGTCTGAATCTGAAGATGGAGAAAATCCTGCAAAAGAACAGAGTTTGGATAAACAATCTGAGACGCGATCAAAAGACATCAGTGCAGAGATGGAGACAGAGGAAATGGTTTGTAAGGGCTCTGTTCAACATAAATCTGGTTTAAGAAGATCTTTCAGACAAACTACCAGATTAGCCAATCAAGACAAAACAAATGAAATCAAAGCACCCAGCGGAGGAAAACTAACTCAGACCAACTCTTCAGTTGAAGGAAAAGAAGATAGGACTCCAACAAGGAGGAGAAAAAGTTCTGCCAGGTATTCTCAACAACAAAACGAAGAGAAAGGGTCTCCTAAAAACGTCATATCGATGACCTGCAACTCCAGAAAGACTCAAGAGGAGGAAAAAGAAGCTGCAACGCCCAGAAGAAGAGGTCGACCCAAGAAGAAAGTCAGACTGGTTCCGAGTGAGTAAACAGGGCTCCATCTGTTAGAATCACTGAAACATGATGAAACCAGGTCAACTTATTATCTTCTGCTGCTGCATAATGGCTGCTGGAAAAGACAGGCAAAGACAAATGTTTTGTTGACTTACCATCCAGAAACCACTTGCTGCTTTCTTCTTCGGTGTGCAGAAGGCTCCACTTTTGCTTTTCAAAGTTGTACAGTTGTATATTTACACATCTATTTGCAGCCATTTTCAGGTGTGAGTGTAAACGTTGAGTTGGGGGGGCGTGGCCAGAAGCAGCTTATTTGGATTTAAAGTGACAAGACGCCCTAAAACAACTGTTTTTACAAATTACTTTTCCTATTATTGGTGGTAAATAACAGTGTTGGCCAAATTAACAATTGCCAATAATTTTCTCTACTGTGAATCCTTTAGAGAAAACTCTAGAAGTGTCTCCTAAAAACGTCACGTCGATGACCTGCAATTCCAGAGAGACTCAAGAGGAGAAAATAGAAGCTACAGCGCCCAGAAGAAGAGGTCGACCCAAGAAGAAAGTCAGACCGGTTCCGAGTGAGTAAACAGGGCTCCATCTGTTAGAATCACTGAAACATGATGAAACCAGGTCAACTTATTATCTTCTGCTGCAGTGAGGAAACCAACCACTGGGGTGAAGTTAAATCCTGATGGACAGACTCTGGAAAGATGTGAGTGGTGACGTTTCTCTCCAAACTCTTCACACAAATGTGACGGCTTGAAAAATGTTTAATGAATTTCTGTTCACTTTGCCTTACGGAGAGTCTAGACTCCAAACAGCAAATAGAAATGACTGCTTGCACAGACAGAGTATTTTCAGTCTGTAATTCGTAAAAACAGTTGATAGAAGAGGAGAAACATCTTAAAGCCGACCTTTTATGCAAATATATAATTTCCATGTTTTTGTACATCAATTTGGGTCTCAGCTGCTTCTAAAAACAGCACAAGCTAATACAAATAAATGACCAATGTTTTTTTAGCTAAATGTAATTTGTTTTTTGGTGTCTGGAAAATGAGCTGGTTCAAATACTATATAATGGTTGCTGGAAAATACAAGTGTTTTGCTGTTGACTTACCATCCAAAAACCACTTGTTGCTTTCTTGTTCGTTGTGCAAGAGGCTCCACTTCTGCTTTTCAGAGTTGTATATATGTATATTTGTGCATCTGTTTCCAGCCATTTTCAGGTGTGAGTGGTGGGTGCGTGGCTAGCTGCAGCTTATTTGAATTCAAATGACAAGACGCCCTAAAATAGCCCCAAATAGGCAAAACTGAGACTAAAATCTCACTATCTAAAAATTATTTTGTGCAAAATATGTGATGAATGTATTTATAAACCTATCCTGACCTTGAAGGAAGCATGATAGATCATCTTTAAACTAGATTTTCCAGTTGAAAGAATCTCTTTACCTAATGTTGGTGGTAAATGGCAACGTTGGTCAAATTAACTATTATAATTAATAATGTTCTCTCCTGTGAATCCTTTGTCCTTCAGACAACTTTGCATTCTTTATTTGGAGGAGAGTTGCATATTTGTGTGGAAGTTCAGATTGAACTGATACGATTTCTGTTGTATTTTCTTAATTTCTGTTTTACTTCCTTTTTTTTTTCTAGTACAACATAAAAGAAAGATGGATCTTTCTGGACCCGAGCCAAAGAGATCCTGCTCTTGGGTTGCTCCGGTTGCTGCCAGTGTCAGATGCCCTCCTTATAGACCTCAGAGACCTCTGCGGTGAGAAAACAGGATACAAAATCATCCATCTACTGTAAACGTTCTTCATTAAGTCGATTCTTCAATATGTTTCAGATTTCTGTAATATTTTAACCTCAAGTGACTAAACCACACAGGAAGTTCATCGAATTTACACTCATGTACGCTGCAAAAACACAAAATATTACCAAGTACTAGTTCCATTGGCAGATTATTTCACAACATAGGAAAAATATCTTGTTATAAGTGAATTTAAGTCGGTCAAAACTTCAATACAGTTCCGTTTGGGTTGCTAGGTAACACAGCTGGGTTATGCTGGGTTTGCTAGGTAACGGTACAGTGTGACTCAACAATCTGGAGGGGTTTTTTTAAACAGCTCATTTTCCAGACATCAGCTTATTGCCCAAAATGGCTGAGTGTTTTTTGCTTTTTAAGCGATCGGGCTGTTTTTAGAAGCAGTAGAAACCCAAATGGAAGCATGAAAATATTCAAAAAATGAATTTTCCATAAGTAGTGTCAGCTGTGTAGTCGTTTTTTCACAGTATCGAAAGGACATGGAAACATGTAATATTGGCAAGTAGTGGCTCTAATAGCAATATTAATATTGGTTATTGGTAACGGCTCATTTTTTCAGATCGGTTCCATCCTTAGTTGTGAAATATAGCACTGAGGAGTCTGTGGTGATTTTCTACACTTGGTTAAACAGTTAGAGATCCAGATGATTGAACTGAAATGTGGTTTATCTCACGACTGCTCATTTATTTTGTTCCTTTTTCTCTCCTCCTTTTCAGAAGAGTTTCAAGACGTTCACACATGGCCTTCCTTTCTGATTGACGACCTTTTTGGAGAATTTTAATCTGTTCTGAGTTTTAGGAGATAACTAGGGCAGCAGATGCAATTTATGCTTTTTAAAAATCTTTTACACTGGATGCTGTTTTTTCAGTGTTGCACAATTTTTTGCAAAAACTACTTTTCTATTTGCATTTTTTTTCAAGATCAGGATCTTGTTGCAGATGGATCAATGTTATCTTTTACATTGTTAGTCTTACCCTTTTGGAAAGTAAAATATTTTTAATCATATTTTTAATCATAAATGCAAGGATGTATGAATACATGGTTACTTGGGGAAACTTTTTTATCAGGATGCTCTAATGTGCTAAATCTTTAGCGTATGTGTGATTTTTACTTATGTCAAATGTATAAAATGAAAGTCTTTTCCCTGTTTCTTTTTAATTAAAAGATTCTTGCTATAAAAGAAGTTGGATGTTGCATAATTTTTCTTTTAAAACAAACTAATCCAGAAACGTGTAGCAGCCAGATGATGCATGAAATGGACGATTGTTCCCACAGGACTGGGAAACATCCCTTGTGATACTAAATACGTAAACATGGGAATAATCATTGATCCACAGTGCTGGACTTCAGCGTAGTTCACCTTTAGGATAAAACCAAGAGAAGCAAAGGAAAAGACACATTTCTACAAACTTCTACTGCAGAACTGCACCAACTCTGAGGCCTTATCCTGCCTGTTTTCAGGATGATGTGTGACCAAACTGACTTTGACTGGTTTCAGCAGATATGGGTGTGTGAGCAAGATAAAAAAAATAAATCTCAAGATGATATCAAATATCGGTTTCAGACACTTCCGGCTGAGAGCACAGTTTCTTCTCACTCTAATGAAATAATGAATGCTCTCAATTACTGAACTTTAATTTCATTACTACACCAGTTTTTGACCCACAAAATAAAATGTAAGAGGCTCTGTGACCCCAACTCCAGTCGCAACACAATCGGCACCTACAGCAAATGTATCGACCAATATGTCGCTTTTATTTATTCAACTCTAGTTTTTAATGTTTTAAACTAAATATATATTGCATCTTCTTTCTCATTGCCATCTTTGGTACTTAGGTTATTTGTTCAATAGGATCCCAAGACCCCAAACTGACATTTTTGTGAACTAGATAGATGCATTCCTGCAGCTTTGTGCTACGAGTAGAGTTTTTACAATTTATATGCAGGCAGCAAAGGTTGCAGGACATTGTCCCCCAAGGACAGCAGCTGCAGATCTCTGGTTTATATTGCTAGCCAGATAAAGAAACTTTTTCAGTCAGGATAACCTGACATTTTGTTCAGGACCCAGACGTTAGTTAAGATATGAAAGATGTTTATGGAAGCAAATCTAATCTTTCAGGCAGTGTTGCCTTCAGTTTTACTGTTAAGGGGTCAGACGTCATGTGATGTCATTATGTAGCCATTCCCGTCCCAAACCCCCATGGTGAATGTCAGGGCTGAAAGCTGCGCTACAATTTTATTGACAAGAAACTAATTTAGAGGTAAGAAAATCTATATATGTTTTGACCAATGGAAAATTTTGTGTGGTACTTAGAGTTACAGCTGGAATTGTAAGCCTGTCAGTTGAAAATGTAGCGTGTCATTCAAAATGTGGTCCATTTTGACCACATTTTGGTCAAAATGGACCATTCAAAATGTGGTCCATTTTGAATGGACCACATTTAAAATGTGGTCCATTTTGAATGGACCACATTCAAAATGGACCAATGCTAATACAATGCTAATAGAGCTAGCTAAACAATGGCTGATAGGAGTGCCAAAAGTTACTCCACAAAGATATTGCCACCAATTACAGGCTGGTATTACTTTGCCATTTTTTTAAAAGCCCTGAAAAAAATAAAATAAAATAAATTCACATCACCAGCCGGTAGGTGGCAGTGTATAACCTTTAGGAGATTCCAAAGCTACTTGTTAAGAGAAGTGAGGAAGTACGCAGAAAGTTGAGAGGAGCAGTTCCAGCAAAAGTAGATAATTTATAGAAACATGATGGGGCTTACAGTAAATTTTATTCGGTTTCCTGCACAAAGAAAGCACCAAAAAGATGAGGCAATAGAACATTTTATTTTGCATTGCAGGAATTACCAGATTCAGAGTAACAAGTTGGTTAAAAACTCTAGTTATTGCAAAAACATCCAGCAAGCAGGGAACGGTGTAAGTTGTACAATAGGATCTATATACATTTTTTTAATTAATTTGTTTTTGTAATGTGGTTCACACTCCTTACCGGTTGGTGGCGGTAATATGTAGCTAACGTTTTAGGCCAACGGCCAATAAAACTCAAGAAGAAGGCGAAGGCCCAAGACAGAAGAGGAAGATGAACGGATCCGAACTTCACTTTGAGCCGAAGGTAAGATGCCGAAGATTTTAATAAGACAGCAGACTGACATGTTTGGCCTTTTTGTTTCTTCCTGTGTAATGGCCGTTACCGTTATGCTCGCAAATTCTCGATCCTAACAGTTCAACACGGCGAACGTTTTGACAAGTTGATGTAACTTTATTTTCTCTCTTAAAACAAGTTTTAATGTCGGTTTGCTTTCGTTTGGTACTTTGACTAAATAAAAAAAGCAAGGCGTTGTCTTCGTGATGCGTTAAAACGCGGCCAAGAGGTCAACCTCGGTAAGTGGCTCTGAATTTGGGAACTTGTTTTGACAAAAACTGACAGGAACAGTCCTCCCATCCGCTCCACGCTTACGAAGCTGAAGTTGGGTTCCGATTGCAGGTTCCGACTCGGGACCTTTAATGGCTAAAGGGCGATATTTTTCACCATCCTCCGCATCTTTAATCTACTCTAACTAAAAAAACAAAAACAAAAAAAACTACAACACAGACTCTTCAAACCTGGACTGGATTATTCTGCTCAAATAGCAGAATATTTAAAACCATGTTTGGGATTTGTGAAGCTTCAATAAAGGTTGATTCACCACTTTTTTGCCTCTGAATCATACTGGAATCGCTCCAGTTCCAAAACGACATGTAGACATTTCAAACCTGCAGAATATTTTAATCCATGTCTGTGATTTGTGAAACCTTTATCTGATTTGTGAAACTTCACTAAAGTTCAGGTCACCATTTACCCTCGTTTTTGCAGGTTTTTTTTTTTTTTTTTCAAATTCAATTTTAATTCAAAACCACTTTATTAATCACAAAGGGACATTAAATGTTGCCGTAGCTCATTAATTCTTCAGTTATTATAGATGGATGGCTGTTGGAAGGAAAGCTTCTGCCGTTTCCCGAATCGGAAACCAACTTCAGCTTCGTTGCTCGCTTGGACAGACCAACACTCAGATGGACCTGTCTATGAACGACAGAAATGCTACTCCAAATAACTCATTAACTCCAAACACTGGTGTAAGGCCACTTTCAGCTAGACTAAAAAACTCATCCGAGTTGGGTAGTAATTACTTGAGTAAGTTTTTAGAGGGGGGGAGTTCTTCTAGGAGTTTTTTATGCTGTATTTTCTTACTTTTACTTGAGTAATTTATTATGAGCTATTGCTACTTTTACTTGACTAAAATTTCCGGATTCTCTACCCACTGTGAGTAATTTCACTGAATGAAGAACAAACATGTCTTAACCAAATATTCACCACACACACACTCCTGTAGTTTTTCATAAAGTTTCATAAGTTTTATTATTATTATTATTATTGAAAGAAACTGATTTGGGAAAATGTTATTTTGCCTGATTTTGTAGTGCTTTGTTACCTATATAAATTATTGTCATTTGTGTCCTTAAAATACCAAAGTTTCCACATAATTTTATATTTTGGTCCATCTGTACTTTTTAAATATTAAATCATTGATAATTTGATCAGTTACTCAGTATTTGAGTGGAGTTTTTATCAATTTTTCTTGAGTAAAAAGCTTTTCAGTCATTTCAAAACATATGTCAAGGTTAACAGTGTCTAGTGCTGTGCCGAGGTCACAGAGCCAACACCATTTAGCATTTCCCCAATGTATGCGTCTTACAGAGTTAATATTGCATGCATGCCTTCCACTTTAGGTCTTCTTTAGCATGTGGTAACACTTATGTCCACATTTACTTGAGTAAATGAAGTGTATAACCATACACTTTATTTCCTATTCACACTCAGTGTCTCTGACCTTACCCCAAAATTTTTCCAAGCACTCCCAAAATCTTCTGTGTGGTCAGACACCCCACTGTCTAGCCTTAAAATGTAAATCCTTCCCAAAAAATGTGCAACATTTTTTTTCTTGAAGTGAATTTCCGATGTCAGATGATGGTCTTGGTAGGTGTATCTCCTCTTATTAGATGTCTTGCAGCTGTTTTATCAAACTTGCTAAGAGTTTCACATTTTCAAACATTATAAAAATGGTTTCAAAACCTTTATCGAACTTTGGTAAACATGGAATACAGCTTTTATATCCTGATAAATATTACGTGAAGCTTTGGTAGGTTTTGATGTGGGTGGGGGGGAGTAACAGGTTTACTTTGTTCTTAACTGTATTGAATTTATTGATCATGATGGGTTGTTTTGCAACATTTTGCCTGATTTTCATCATTTAATTGATTAGGTCTTCTGTTCTTGAACCGGTATGTGACCTTTACTATATTCCACAAGCTTTTTATCATAAAAAATAACCTTCAATAAATCGTTGTGTGCTTAAATATTATTTTATCAAGCAGCTGCTGCCTCATTGGTTCTCAGAGAAAAGCTTAAAGAAAAAAACAGAAATCTGGTTGCGTCAAACGTGACTTGAAAATCAAGATTACTCAACTCTCCAGCAAACAGAAAACTGTTGTTTGGAGGTGGAGTAGTTAGTTCGGGTCTAAAAACAGATTTTAATGCATCATATTAATCAGTCAGGTGGCTGGAAACAAATCGGTTCATTATATTTGGCCCACTGAAACCTACAGCATGTTGAAGCGTGAAGGTAGTGACTGGGTGGGTGGTGCGAATGTGAAACTACCCGAGATTGCAGATAAATGGAAACCAGTGAGCTGCTGGGTTTCCTTGCCTGACATTTCCTCTTGTTGGGCTGCTTATGTTGGCCACCTGCTCTAAGAAATCCCCATAAACATTTTACTGTCAATGTAAAATGAGCCATATTAACCTCCACTTTTGAAGTGATTAATTAAATAAAAAATCACGCTACTGTATAATTAACAATAATACATTGACATATTACACTTTACTCATTAAAACAAAATTGGAATAAAGTTAAGCTTAGAAAGAAGGGATGCATCAATCTGAAAATCTGGCTGTTATTGATACCCAGTATTAATACAGCTCTTATGGCTGATAACGTATATTTCCCTACAACACCATGTTTCTCTGTCCTCAATTTGATTTTAAATAACATCTCTAAAGAGACTGTGGTGTGACATGATTGTACGATTTAGAAACAAACTGTTGGACATGAATAAGTGAGTGGACTAGATCATCATATTTAGGATAACTTGACATTATGATGACGTAGTTGCGTCATTTACAATTTACTACCTGCATTTTCCTAACTACTCTTCAGTCCTCACTGCTCTCCCTAGCTTTATGATCTCGATCATCACCACAACATATCAGTCGTGGGTGTAGACAACAGTGACGGTTCATCTGAGCGGCCAGAGACCTTATTGGTGTTGGGGAAATTTTCTTTAACAAAGAGGGAGGAGAAACTGTTTCGGAAACCAGAGAGCCTTGAGCAGAACACAGCACACCGTTTTACAGGGAGGGTTTCATTCCACTCACATAGTTTGACAATCTGCTTAGTTACAAAACAGATTCCAAGCATACGCATCTTCTTTCATGAGAGAAATTCAAGGACGTCATGAGGGTGCAAACAAGAAACAACTGAATAACTTTATAGTAATACAGAGTTCAGAGAAGCGGCTTAAGAAGTCTTTCCCACGAGCCTGTGCATTATACAGGAATCACTGTACTGTTATGCATTGTTTTACTCGTAGTAATCTTAAAAATTTCCACTACATTGGCAACAGTTTCCATACACAGAACCCATCCCAGGTAGGGCTGCACAATATTTCATATCACCATCGCAATATTAGTGTAAGCAGAATTTATATTGGAAAGGACTATTTTGAGTGCAATAATTGATGGCTAATGCATCCAGTGAGTTTGTATTTTGCATGTTATTGTAATTGTTAGTCTGCTGGAGACAATCTTATGGCAACAGATGTTCACAGCAGACCATAACATTGCCCAACATGCTAGAGTTCATAGGATGATGGGAGCTTGGATCAGAATAGAAAGAAGAAAACTAATATAGGAACTGTTATCACCAATGCAATATTTTCTAACATTGCATCCAAGCAGTCATGTTGCTGTTGAGACATTGCACACTTGATATTGGACACACTTCAATATATTGTGCAGCTCTACTGTGTATCTGTGGCTTTGGAAAAGTTTACTTTGCACACCTGCATGCTAACATTTCACCTCTGTGTACTTGAAAGTTGAAGAAATGGGTAAACTTACAAAAGGGTGAAGGGGAAGAAACCTGCATCCATTGATGCTAATGTTAACTACTTTTAGGAAAGAATCACAATCCTGTTGCGCCTTCCTGTTAACATTCACTTACTGTATGTTGACTTGTGTCTCTGTTAGGAACGACCTGAGTGATTAATTTCCCTCCCCGCCTCATTCGTGGACATGAATCTGTCTTGAGTAACCATTGTTTTTAATTTTCTCTCTCCATCTCGCTGTTCTTTCCTGTCAGGGTATTTTGCATCGTGTGCAGCTTCTGGGCCCTGAAGGGATCTCAAGATGTTCCTCATTGACCATCGTGAAGGCTGCATCCTTGTAGCTGGATGATCTGAAATCCCAACTAACATTAGCTTTGAGCAAAGTTCACAGTGTTGTTGATTGGATTATGTTCTGTACTATATATATACACAATACCAACTGCCTTGGCCATAAATTTATCAAATTTCCTTAATTAAAACTGCTGACCATCATGTCTTATCCCATGTATAATCCATTTGCCTCTGGGGATACAAATGCCTCCCAGGGACAATATGGACTCTCTACTGGACAGACACATGGAACCATATGGAGGACTGTACCTAATCTCGGACTTGGATCCAGCATAAGCTTCCCTGGACAGTCATTTGATGGATCTAGTTTGCCTGCAATCAACAGGCCTGAACCAGGTCAAACCACTTCAAACATCCATTTACAGAGTACCTTCAATATTTCTGCCAGAAATCAAATAACATACCAATCTTTTGGTCAAGGCGCCACCACAACAGAGTCAAGCTTTTCTGTCTCATCAGCTTCTCAGTATCATCAACAATCCAATGTTTGTGATGGGAGTAGTTCTTTTAACTGGTTCCCAGTTAAAAATTCCTCAGAGTCTTCTTTAAATCCTTATGATTACGCAGCTCAACCAATCGGCCAACCTCTAGCCCAAGAGCTTGCGCTCACACCTTGCATAGCTGAAAAGATTTTACTGCATTATGGATTTCAAAAAGAGGACTTGAATGAACTCATAAATTACCCCGACGAGGAAACTACAGCCGAGAAGCTCCCCTACACTTTACAAAAGATTCGTATGAAGAATGCCAACAGAGCTTTACCTGCAGCCACGTCAGACGTTACATCTCAACCGAGTTCAAGTGGAATTGTTGGTTTGAAAAAGCCAACGATATTTCATGATGAACCACCATCGATCAGTTGTCACACATCTGGGGATGAACATACAAATGTTGAGGGTAAGACTGTTGAGAAGTTTCTCAGTAAGGCTCAGAGTTGTGGATTCACTTTGCTGAAGAACGATGAGGCTAGCAGTCAGGCTAAAAGAGTGACTGAACAACGCTTGGAATTAAACACCAGTGGTTCCATTTCTTCACGTGACACGCTGGGCTCCATTACCGGCTTGAGCTCAACAAGGAATATTGTAGCTCAGGCCCAACAGGTGGAGACTCAATCAAACCAGACTTTGCAATCAAGCGTCCCTGTCTTTTCTCTGCAAAATAAAAGCAGGGTCATTGTATCGCCAAAGTTTGGCCTCTGTGGGTCTCCACCTGTAGAAGCACCAACTCACCCATTTACATCAAAAACACAGTCACCAAGTAATATAAGCCAGGGTGTACGTTTAAGTGGACCTGTCCTTGTTCACACAGAAAGTAAAACTCAAGACCAAAAGTCAAAGATCACAAAGTCGGCACTGCAGAAGCACCTGCAGAAGCAGTCACAATTACAGATCACACAAGCTGGGCAGCGTGCAGAGCCCACTGCTCTGAAACAAGTTCCTGCTCCCTCTTTCATCCCCACTGTTGCAGAAGTTTCACATCCCATTCTACAGTCTGGCAACAATGTCGTCTCTTCATCTGTCCCAACCGTGGATCTGGTCAAGACCACTGATACACAAGGATCTAAGCACCAGTCTCCAGTAAAACCTGCAACCTTCAAGGGTCTGCCGTCACCAGCCAAGATGCATGACTGTACTGTTAGCAAACCAAGGAAGTTTCCACATACCTGTTCTTTATGCAAGGCAAACTGTTCTCAATTGAAGGTGAGTCAAAAATTGTTTTCTCTAGTTAACTGGTGCTTGTGAGTTGTTTTTTTCTTTTCATATACGCCCTTATTGTGGTGGTTGTTTCTTTCTCTGTTAAATTGGTCATAGTGTATAAAGTTGTTTACACAGATTTCAATTGACATTTAGTTAATAGTTCACTGAAATCAGTGTGGGAATCTCCTTACAAATATGTGTTGAGTACTCAGAACTGGTCCTAATATCAAAAAGGGATTCATCTATTAGGTGGGAATGCTTTCATAAATGGTCTTTAAAAACAAAAGTGTACAGTGAAGAATGGTAAGAAGACACCTTAAGGCAGTGGTCTCAAACTACTTTCCTCAAGAGTCAGAGTTCTGCATCTTGCAGTTGTGTCCCTTGGCCTACCCACTTGAATTACATAGTGAAACTGTTTCACTAGCATGCAGTTAGCTCTACAAAGCTCTGCTAATGAACTATTGGAGCCAGTTGTGCTGAAACAGATAGATATCTATAAGTTGGAACTAGTCATAGGAAAATATATTCCTGTGTAAACTGGGTTACAATCAAGCGGTTTATTTTTGTAGACTTACCAGAATTTAGACACTCCTTCATCTCGCATCTCCCTCCAGCTCTAGTAAACATCTAAATATCTAAATTTCTGTCCTTTAACAGTCTGCCTTCTGAAATCACAGGATAAACTTTAATGTTATACTAATTACGGTTCTACATGTCTGTTTGTTATTGTGACTGCTAGGATTGGACTGACCACCAGCAAACCAGTCTACACGTTGGGAACTGCAAACGTCTTCGGGAACAGTCAGTCTTTTGGGTTTTTTCTGGGATATTTTTTAGGTTAAAGAGGAATGTTTTATACAATCTTTGAAAATGGGCAGCAATATTAATCAAACTGCAAAGAAAGTATTTTTAAAGAAAATTGTACTGCAACGATATACTTTTCTGATCTGTTGTTGCAGCCTAAATATGAAAATTCACCATTTCAAGTTATTTTACATCAGTCCACTATGTTGCCAATGAATCACTGACACCATAGACTTATAGAAATGCCGTGTTTTATGTCTGTGAAACCATAGACCACTTTGGCTGATCACTTGATATTATCCACTAGGCATTCTGTTTAAACAGAGAATGGCTTTTTAAACACAGTAGATCAGCAGTTTTGGAAATACTTGGACCAGACCATCTGGCACCAGCAACTCCACTATATTTAAACTAGCCTACATCTCCTTGCTTTTCTGTTTCCGGTTCTTGGCTTGAACTTCAGCGAGTTTGCCTTCCCCTACGCAACTAAGTCCAAGTGGATTTACTTGCTTTCCTGTGATTATTTGATTTACTATTTGTGCTATAAAACAATTGACCTGGGGTATCTAATAAAATGGGAAAATGTAGAGTTGTATTTGCACCTTTATTCTTAAATCAATGTTATTTAACAGTATTCTTAAATATTCCATAGACACCCAGAGTGGGATGGCAAAGTACCAGTGCAAAGGTATATTTCTGTATTTACACAAACGACAACGACTGATGGTGAATATATCTCTGACTGATGGTAAGTTTCGCTATTCTTTTCCTGCATAGTGATGCCATTAGAAGTGCCAAGGTTTCTCCCTCAACTTCTGACCACATGTCCCATGATCATAAAAAGAAAACCAGTGATGGGACGCGTTCCCGGTCTTGCTCTCGCAGCCCATGCCGACGTCGCAGCTCTACCCGTAGAAGCACCACTTCCAGCAGCAGTTCTAGATCTAAAAGTCCTCGCAAACGCCGCAGTTCTGGGTGTAGAAGAACTTCCACCAGCAGTAGTTCTCCCTCTAAAAGTCCTCATCGACGCCGTACATTTAGGCATAGAGGGGCCACTACTAGCAGTAGTTCTCCCTCTAAAAGTCCTTATCAACGCCATACTTTTAGGCGAAGAGGGGCCACTACTAGCAGTAGTTCTCCCTCTAAAAGTCCTTATCGATGCCATACTTTTAGGCGAAGAGGGGCCACTACTAGCAGTAGTTCTCCCTCTAAAAGTCCTTATCGACGCCATACTTTTAGGCGAAGAGGGGCCAGTACTAGCGGTAGTTCTCGCTCTAACAGCCCTCGTCGACACAGCAGCTCTGAAGGTCGAAGGGGAAGACGGAGCAACAGGACACAATCATTTCACAGTCCCAGGCACAGTCACAGGTTTGTGTCAATGAAATATTTAAGTTTAGAGATAAAGATGTTAATTTGTATCCATAGTTTCAGGTTTGTCTTTGCAGGGGCTAAAAATTATTAAAGTCTGCAATAATACATTTAGTTATTTCAGAATTTAGAACTTCATGTTTCCATCAGGTCTCGGTCTAGATCTGCATCTCCACGGCACAACCACCGTATTTTCTCCAACTATCAGAGACGTTCAAGTGATTGGGAGAAACGTCTTTCACCAAAAAGAGGGTTTAAGACTCTTGGTTTACCAAGACGGAGCTCTGATGAACCATCATCTCCAAGGACAAATATTGAGCAATTGCGGTCACCAAGGACGGGCCAGGAGCAACTCTCACGTACGACTAGAGACCCAGAACATGGTGATGAAAAACAGCAGTCAAGCAGGAACCCCAATCGATGGTTGTCTCCAAGAAGTGAGGAGAGAAAGAGGCCACGAGGAAGGAGCCGTGACCGACAACATTCACCTAGAAGGAGCAGTGCACAACAGTTGTCTCCAGCAAGACCTGTAAGGACCGATGAGCAACAGTCATTATGTCATGACAAACAACGTTCACCGCAGAAGAATCACAAGGCACAGTCATCGCCAAGAGAAAATGATGGGAGGCAGTGCTTATCCGAGAAGCGTAAGGAGCGCTCCTCAGTAAGTGGAAGCCATAGGCGACAGCTGTTCCTGGAGGAATCTCCGAAAAAGAAGCCATGCAGTGAACAAATTCTAACAAAGCAACCAATGAATTCAGGTTTGTTGTTACAACATTTGATGCATATCAGCCTGCATAGGCCTGTCACAAAGAGCAATATATCAATTAATCACATGATAAATTAAAAGGCACCGATCGCGCCACCAGATTATCATATCTGCTCGTGCAGTTCTGAATTTTTGTAACTTTTAACATTTGTTAGCACAAAACCATGGTGGGCTGCTGGTGGACTGCCCTAGCGCCCCTAGCACCAGGTTTAGCAGGTTTTCTAGGGGAAACCGAGGAGTTCATTGGACGCTTCCAGTATTGGTCAGTCTATTGGGCACAGTTGACCAAATATTTTTACATACTTTCTAAAGCAAACTACTAGTTGAAGTTATTTGGACTGTATTGGATTTGTTGTTTTAGGTCTGTTATGCACCAAAACTAATACTTTCTTTTTGGTTTATTATTCAAGCTTCTTCTGTGCCAGAGCAGCTAAACACTGCCAGTGTGTTCAAGCCTTTAGCTCATACTGTACTGGCTGAGCAAGCTAGAAAACGGCCATCTTCATCATCACAGTCATTATCAATGACCAACAAGATGGAGGCTTCCACATCATCAAGAGGCAGCAGCCAAACATCCGTTTCCTCGTCATCTTCCTTCAACCCAACAAAGTTAACGTTGGACACAAATTTGAATCTGGTGCAACCTAACCTTCCAAGGAGTGAGGAATGTTCTACGACTATACCCAAGGTGGGTGTTTGGGTTTCTGATTCTTGATATTTGTATGTCAGACATCATAGTTTCCAATCAGAAAGTTGCATCAGAAGCTCTTACTCTCTTGCAGCCTCACTGCCTTGCAGATATCAATATATCATCAATATATCATAGAAAACACACTTTTCCCTTAGTTCACTGTTGCACTCATATTTTGCTCAGCAATGAGAGGGAGAAAACCACAAATGTGTTGAATTCTGATGGCTGTTGTGGACAATATTTAAATCCAGCTCCTATATTTCATCACTTGTCATTCACAACAGCAGCTGCAGTTCTTTTGTTTTTAACAGCCAGCCAAATGTACATTTAATCTTTTATTTCTTACTTTTCTCCCCAGCCTCCATTTGCTCATCACAGTAAACCATCACCTCCAACCATGTTGAAACTCAGAGGCAATTTTGATACTCTCTCCCATGGTGACGTGATCGCAGCCATGGAGTCCTTTGGGAAAACCAAATCCCTCTTACTGTTTAAGTCTAAACAAGAGGTATGGAAAATGTAGGATAAACCCAACATCTGTCTCTTAATGCTATGTGAATATTTTTGCTTTGCTGTGTGCACATTTTACTTTCCACAGTATCTTTGTGTGAGTTTTAAAAAGAGAATTGGATAAAAATCACATTTACTAAAACCTGTGATAAAAATGGAGCAAAATTTTTACTTTTTGTCATTTTAGTCTAAGTACAAACGGGCTGGGTTGAATTTGAATATTTGCATACTTTGTAGGTTCTGTGTTATTTAGCCCCATGTACATCTATTAATTCCTGTAAATAATTTGCATAAAAGTAAAGTATTGGCTTAGTTTCAGGAAATTTGGCGAAAAACATAAAAATGTTTAAATCTCACACAATCAAATTTAATAATAATTTATCTCATCATTTTACATTACTATGAAATATGACACACAAAGGCCCTTTATGGACGTGATTCATTTGTTCATACACTGATCACACTATCCTAGTAAACTGAGTAGACGATACAAAATCCCTTCAAAAAGTTCCATGATTAGATCTAACGGTAGATTTTATTTGAGAAATATTTATTTTAGATGTAAAGACAATACAGGAGTAATACTGTGTGCTCTTTGGGTTTTTTTATCAATTTTAATAAAACGTTATCACGCGAACGTCGCGTGTTGGTCACGCTGCAATGCATTCTGGGTAAATGACGTCTAACGGTCCAACAGCGTTAGCACTTTCTAGCCAAATCAGTGATGAGTAACGTCTTTAAGTCAATTCAAATTGAACCGGAGCGCTTTGAAATCGATCGGGTTGTAGAAATCATAGGAGGTAATGAAGATGAGGACGACCAGACAGAGGAAGAGGGCAGAGTTGGCCGTAGCCGTAGCTGGTGTTTGCCGCTGCTGCTGCCGCTGCCGCCATCTTCAGCTTCATAAATGACACAGTGAATGACTCTTACCTCTGGTTGGACTGCGTGATCCGGTAAGTACTTCTATAGCTCTGTGTCCGGTTCGGCGTTCGTCCGGGGCGGCAGTAGTCCCGCCGGTAAATCAGGGTGTTACAACTCAAACGCATGAAGGCTAAACTTGATCACGATTGGTTTAAAAAAAAAAAAAGAAGTTTGGTTTCCATAGAAACCAAAATTCTACTAAGAGTCCTTTACCCTGTGTAAACTAACAGTTTAGTAAACTAACAGGAGCTACATCTTCAGATGTAGATGATCTGTCATCAAACAAGTTGCATTAAGAGAAACTTCACTAAAACGAAGAAGAAACTGACCAGTTAAAGAACTGGAAATAATCTAAAATGTATAACTAAAAATAGTTTGCTCTGAAATTGATGAAACTAAAATTGTCTGCATTTTTACTGCTTGCCAACTCTTATTTTTGCTTGTAGCACTTGTGTGAAAGTAGTTAAATCGGTCCTATTTTCCCCATACATTCATAGGCAACTGTGTGTTTTGAAAAAGAGGAAGATGCTGCCAAGCTTAAAGGCTTAAAAAGCCTTGAGATAAAAGGAGTTTCCCTCACATTTGGTGCAAAGCAGGTATGTTTCTGCAGTTAATGAGTTTGCTTCTGTGTAGTTTTCTCATGTTACCAATAACCTGACCAATTCACAATAAATCGATTTGTAGGACAGAGTTTCAGAGGCCCCTTTATCTGCGTCTCCAGAGGATCAGAAAAATCTTAGTCCAGAGTAAGTTCTTCCACAATCTGATTTGTTATTTTTGTAGATTCATAATTGTTTTGGTTATTTCATTTCATGTTTGGATAAATTTTCTGGTTAAGAATTGTTATACTTTTGTGCTTTTGGACAGCTGCTATCACGTGCAACCGTGGAAACAAGCTATTGCTTTTTCAACTAGCACCAGCTAATTAGCATCGCAAAAGCTCAAATAAATCAAGGGTTTTATTGTCAGACCAGCTCACATTTTTATATAAATGGTGTGAAATCCAGACTCAGGTTCCAGTTTAAGAAGCCTAATAAATAAATGAAATATAAATAAAATATATCTGAACTGCGACTCCAGATCCCAGGGGTATATCCCCTACTCCAACGTCTTTCTAACCGTACGGCCAGACAGATTTAAAGGGAAGCAGCAAAAGCAAATGAGGTGGATTAGTAATGCTTGCCAACAACTGGTGGTGTCATCCAGTGTGTCATGACAGTCATAAGACTTTGAATAAGAGATGGTGACTGTTTTTAGTGCGGTTTTAAACCTTTTTGTCTTTCATTTCTTTCCCAGAAAGCCCGCTGTGCCCCGTCAGTCTGCTTCTGCTAGAAACTTGGTTCTCCTGCCACTTAAAACGCTTTTGTCTATCCAAATAAGGTCCAAAAAGAGCGCAGCAGTCAAACTTGTGAAAAAAGCCAAAGTCTTGGCTTCCAAAGGAAAGTGTGTCTCCAAGAAGCAGGTGGTTCAAACTGTGAAAACGGTCAACGTGGCAGCAAAACAGTCTGTAAAATCAGCTAAAGACAAGAAAGAAGCTCCAAAGCCCGAAAAGACACTCAGTCCCGGTAACTGTGGACAAAAATCAAAAGGGAAGGAACACATCCCGACTGCAACAAAACTAAGGCTGAAAGAAAATAATGACTCCTCTGTGGGTAAAGTGATAAAAGTATCAGAAACGAAGATCCTGCTGGGTGAGACTCTTCCACCCAGCAGCAAGAAAATGGAAGAGGTTGAAGCAAAACCATCCAAGTCTGACAAAGAGACTCTCAAGGCCGAAATCTCAACAACAAACCTTCAAGACGTTGTTGCACCTGAACAATCTGCAACAACAGAACAAACCCAAGTTAACATGGTTAGTAGTGAGACGGAAACTGTGAAAAATGCTGAGTTGGGAACAAGTGGAGCACCAGAGCCAATAAAAATGGACGAACAAGAGCAAAAACCCGAAGAACCACCAAAAGTTGGGACTTTTGGTGAATTTTCAACCGGTTCGCCTCTGAAACGAATGGCCAGTGAAAATCCAGAGACCTCTGTCCAAATAAAAACTTTGTCGAATCTAGAGTCGACTGCACAGAATCTGAAGTCCAGCGAAAAGCAGACAGAACCGCAGACTGCAGGAAGCTCTGCTGAAGCTCCAATCGAAACAAATCAAACGGGTAAAGACAACTGGACAATAAAAAATATATCTCTTTACCCTTTTCCCCTTCAAATTAATTTGCAATTAAAAAAAATTGTTTGGTTCGTTTGATATTTTCTGTTCTTTAAAGATACAGCAAAGCCACCCAGTCCAACCACTGAAACCACAGCAGAAGCGAGTGAGAAGCAGCTGACTGTTGGGGAGAGGATTGTCCCCGATTACCTGAATCAACTGAACCTAAACAGCAAAGGTGTGATTGTCAGACATATTTTGTTTTGGTAAGATAATTACAGGGACTGGGTTTCACTGCTTTTTACAATTTGACTCCATCCACAGATTACATTCTGGCATCAAGCATCCTGGAGTCCAGGGTCAGTTTCATTCTTCTGTCTTTTCTGTTCACTTTGACTAAACTGAAGTTTATCTTTTTCTAATGAAGTCACATAAATAAAATGCTAATTTGGTTTATATCTTTATGTGGAGGTTTTCTGCACCAACTTGTTTAATCAGTGTCTATTTCTAAGTGAATCAGTGGTGGGCACCGCTAGCTGCGACGCTAGCTGTGCTAGCCCTAAAGCTCTAATCATAAACATTAGTTCCGCTAATGCTAAGGCGCTACACCAACAAGGTATTTCCCTCTCTCAATAGGTTTCTGTTTCTTTTATTTCCTCTCAGCCGTTCAGCTTCGTTTACCCAAAGCTGCTGCTGATCACCAACCTGCCCTCGTATGACAGCTGCAGCTACGCTGAGAAGGACGTTGTGGATCTGCTCTCTACATTTGGATTTCAATATTCAGATGACAGGATCTTCATCTTTCCTCAAGGCTGCATGGTAAGCACCAGGCTGCTTTAGTTATGTTTATATTTATAACTGGCATCCAAGGTTCCTAGACGGCCTGGAAAAGTCTGAAAATGTTATCCAAGTATTTTCCCAGCTGGATCAGTAAGCAGGTGTTTCTCTATCACTTTGTGTAAAGGTTGTCTGTTCTTCCGTCCAGTCTTTTATTTGCTCATCCTGCTGTCAAATAATCCATTCATCCTCCAAGTGATTTCACTTAATCTTCCATAAATTGACTGGAAATTGACTCAAACTCTGGAAAAGTTTGAGATTTTTCATACTTAATTGGTAGAAATGCAGCCAATTTGACTGTCATGGACTTTGATGACATCAAATGGTCCATCAATCGAGAAATACCTGCCAAATGTTTTACCATTAAAATGAGACCAGTCGTGTGGTTTTTGTTTTGTTTTTTTACTTTTTATTCTGTTTTAGGCTTTTGTGCTGATCCCCAGTGAGGAGTCATTGACGGATCTGCTTAAGGCGTCAGAAGAAAACCGCCTCATCTTCAAACAACACAAACTTTGTTTGTATATCGTGAAAAAATACATTTCAATGACACTGGTAAGAATGTTGTTTATTTGAAATGTAAAAATGAAAACCAAAATCATGGATGTCTAGGCTTTAAAGCTGGAGTTTAATGTTTCTTCTGACTGAAAGTGGTGTTTTGGGCTGGCCCGGTTGGAATCTGGTAGAACATTTGTGGAGGGAGATAAAGTTTAGGTTGATGGCGGTTTGGTCTTCCAGACTCAGTGAGTTAAAATACCAGTGGAAATCTGTTGAAAAATGTTTTATTTTTCATTGCTGTAGTGACAAAAATGTTATTTGATTATTACAAAAGAATAATCCATTTTCATCATGCCAATACACGTTTTCTGATTTAGTTTTTTTTTATGTTTTTATTTTTTTGCTTTTGAGAAAGATGCCAGTGTTTTCTAATTGTTTTATTGACTGAACAGATAAAAACATGTTCTTTATTGTCACTCAAAAGCTCCTTTTTGTGCGCTCTGGCTTTACCTCTGCTCACTTTGTTGTTTTCCTTTCAGCCTGGCTTTTATGAATCGATCATGGAGCTAGCATCTTTTGTAAGTGTGACGATCAGATCTTTCTTTCTTCTTTTTTTGACTTTGATCTTTAAATAAATGACAGCTGCTGGAATACAGATGCGCTTCTCAGCTAAAAAAAAATCAGTCTGCAATCCAGCATGTTAAACTTAATGAACTTGCGTTAAAGGGTACTGTAGTATCAGAGTTAAATGTTGAGGATGCTCTGCTTCTGACTGTAAATACCCTAAAACTCAAAGACGTCTTTGCTAATACATCAAAATTCAGCTAACATAAGAAGACATTCAGGAACCAGTGTTTTTTGTTTAATTGTTGGCTGTGTGTTGTTGGAGCAGAGTGTCGAGGTGTCGAATGTGATCTTCATCAACAACATTTCCCCGAGCGACGCCGTCACTGTCAGAGAGGCTTTGAGGAAGATTGGTGGCGTCAGAAACGTCCTGCTTCTGCTCAACAAGGTTTAAACACAAAGTTCATCTTATATCTGGATGCACAGATTTCTAGTGTTTTTACGTTTTCTTGTGATTTTTAGGTTTTCATTGAATTCGAATCCATTTATGACGGCGATCGCCTCGGAGTTTGGTACAGCCTCCTGAAAGTGGGCTTTACTCACATGATTCAACGCCTGAATGTACCTGTGAGCTCCAAGGAATCACAACGTAAGAAACTGCTGATTTATGAAAGTATTAACTGCAGTATGGAACTTTTATGAAGAATATGTCTGTTTTTCACATATTTGTTAAAACAAGAGGTGGAGAGAGTACCCAAAAATTGTGCTAAAATAAGAGTAGTGCTACTTTAAATATATTTTTATTCAAATAAAAGGAAAAAGTAGCCATCCAATAAAATACTCAAGTAAGAGTAACAAAGTATTTGGTAAAAAGTCTACTCAAGTACTAAAACACTGATCCAATTATCATTAAATATTTAAAAATTACATCATCAGATGGACCAAAATACAAAGTTAAGTGGACATTTTGGTATTTTAAGGACCAAAATGACAATTACTCATCTAAGTAACAAAAAAATAACAAAATCAGGCAAAAGGAACATTTTCTAAATCAGTTTCTTTCAATAAAAAAACTTATAAAACTGCAGGTGTGTGTCTGTGCCTCTTGAATTTTTGGTTAAAACATGTTTGTTTTTAATTCACTGGCTAGAAAATCCCAAGATTTTACTCAAGTAAGAGTAGAAATACTTCATAATAAAATTACTCAAGTAAAAGTAACAAGTACAGCCTCGTGGAAATACTCCTAAAAGTAATTTTTTTTCTAAAAAGTTACTGAAGTAATCGTCACCAGTTACTACCATTAACTCTGGTTAAAACTGTCAACATGTCTTCACAGTTTGAGACAGATAATCTGTAAAAAAAAAAAAACAATCTCCTCCTTGAGATACTATTGTTGTCTAAAGAATTGAACCGCTTCTAAAAAAACAATCAGAGACAGAAGGAGTACCTTAACGCTGTCAATTATCCTCACGTATACGATGCTAAATGTGCTAATGCTGGAGAAACAACTTACCATTACAGGACAACCAGTTATCTGCCATCAGCTATGACTATGCTAACTAGCCTTAGCATTTGCTACAGAGAGCTAGATGGGTGATTGACAGAACTAAGACCCGCCTCCTGGTTCTGATTGGTTGTTTCTAGTTAGTGGTTCTTAAGGTTTTTCTCAGTTTGTCCAAACCATTCTTGACAAGAAAATCTAGGTAGTAAATCTTGTGATAGTCATCCTACCCACATCTTTTTTTTGTTGGAAAAATCAAACGGTTTGTTTATGATCTTTCTCCACTGATCTTGTTTTTGGTTGTTCAGCACCATTACTGCCACTGAAAGCCCTTCCAGACCAAGATGTTATCATTGCTGGGGCAGAAACACCAAAATTGCAGTATGGCATCCCTATAGGCACATGTTCGCCGTTTTGGGTGACGATGACAACGCAGCCCTATGTTTTTCTAACTGCCTCTCCTTGGTTTAACATCCCAAGTAAGAGAAACACAATTTACATGTTATGGTCTAAATAATTTTCTTGGATTTACTCTTTTTTGTTGTTGTTTTTTGCTTGTAGATTTTCTGACAATCCACTGGAACCAAGGCTTTTCGGTGAGCGGTCCTTACACACAAACCTGACTTTTAACTTACCGATTTTTAACCAAAACAGGAAAAAATGGTTCTCATATTTGTAAGAACACAAAATCTTACAAAGTATTTTTAGTCTAGTTTCTTGTGCAAATAACGTAGTACACTTTAAACAAGAATAACTAACCTATATGGGGGAATTTTCCTGCCATAATCCAAGAGCACACATTTTCAGTCTGAAAACAGGATTTCATGTATTTTGTTCTCAAAACTTTTAATACTTCTGCTTACATTTTTATTTTGAAATAAGGACTTCATGTCTTTCTTCTCAAAACTTGTAATGATTGTACTCAAAACTTCTCCTCGCGCTCACACCTGGTGTCTTCTCGGCCTCTCTGCTCACTTTTGGAAACACCCTTTGGCACAGTCGCCTAGCAACCTTTCAGCCAATAGAAAGAAAGTGTTGTACGGGGTGTGTTTGTTTCTTTCTAGAGGGTGTGTGCCTGTGTGGCTACTATCGATTGTAGTAACCTGCACATTTTATAATTTGTAAAATAAGGTCATCATTGACTTAACCTGAAACTTTGCGAGCTTTCTTAGACAAAACAGTCTTTACTGACCCTTTTCTTGCAGGTACTCCGAATGGCAGGTAAATTTTAACTTATTATCCAAAATAGTTCAAAATATTATACATTTAATGTATTTATATGGCTTGCCATAAGTGTGTAAATATGTGACAGTTGGGTTTGCCAAGTAGCCTTGACTTACTTACTTCTGCTGGGATGGTAATCTGGTAACCTCCTTCCGGCCAGCATTAGCAGCTGCTGTTGCATTAATTTGTTGTGAAGTTCTTTAAACACATCTGTATCTTCTTCAGAATTTTAGTTTTGTAATGCGTTTTATTTGCATGCACTCTGCATTACATCCTTATGTATAAATATTTCACCCTCTATTACTTCAAAATTATTTACTTTATGAACTGTGCGATAGGTAATCACCCACCCAGCCTCTGTGTTCTGCACCCTAATGCTGACGGGTTTGCCAGAGGGAAACTACAAACACGAAGACGTCGCCAATCTGGTGTGGCCTTATTTCTCCAAGCAGAATCTTCAGACTCTCTGTTACAACATCGTGGTCCTCCCACTGCAGAGGAGGGTAAGGAGTTGCTCTGGTTGTAATGCAGCTTCTCGCGATTTGCCACCTTTCAGACAAACACAGTTAGCATGAATGAGAACTAGAGTAGCCAAAAAAATGAACTCGAGCAACAGCAGCACTACAACAACATATTCTTACTAGAGTAAAAGTAAAAAGTAGCCCTCCAGGAAATTACTGAAGAGTGAAAATGTCTTTGGTAAAAAGTCTATTCAAGTACTGAGCAACTGATCAAATTATTGTGGTCAACAGCCCAAAAATTGTCTGAGGTTGTGATCTGCTGTTTAGGGAAATTCTTGTTCGTTTTGATAAAGGGAGACACTGAGTCAATCAGAGAAATGCGCTTTTGTCTTTAGATATTTTATTTAGAAAATCAGAGTAAATATCAGAGATCAGCATGTGAGAGAAGTAAAGGAAGAAGAAGGAGGAAGTGAAACTTAACTTCTCCTTTTATATCTTATCAGTTACGTACACGGCGCCTGCCACCTGTCTCTCACCTGTAGGGAGTTTCTCTCTGTTTCTCCCGTCTCTGGTTAATTGGTACCTTTGTCCCTAAATCAAACCCTCTTAGAATGATTAAATTGTTTACAACTTGGATACATTAAATTAAGAATATAGCCACAAAAGGTAGTTATTGAGAAAGGTTTATGTCAGAATGTTACACATTAATGGTAAAAATGTGTTAAACTGTGTGAATAAACTGATTGATTGATTAAAACACTCTGACGTTTGGCTTTAACTAACCCAAAGTTAAAAATTCTCTTTCATTTTCCCGTCCGCTCTAGGCCTTTGTGTTTTTCTGCGACTGGGAGGCGTTCAGCAACTTCATCCTGAATATCCGCCAAAAGCCGTTATGTGTGAAGAAGTCGCCTGTGTTCCTCCACTTGGTCATGCAGTGCATTCGACCTGGAAACAGCGAGGTGTGGAAACAGTCTGTGCTCCATTTAAAACAGGCCATATTAGCTGCTGATTTACAGACTGTTAAATTCGATTGGATATGTTTTGGATTTATATAGATGGAAAAACTCGTTTTAAATAAAAGGTGCTTTTGTAGAAATTATTTCAACTTTCTCTGTCATTCTGTCGTCACAGGAAATGATGTACAAAACGATGATGAGATGGAGCAATGTGGTGAGTTCACTCATCTTTTTGTTGAATCTGCAGTTTCAATCTACAAAAAGCACAAAATATTACCAAGTATTCTTGTCCAGTTTCTAGTGCAAATATCTTATTAGACTTGAAATAAGACAAAACTAACTTACAAGTAAGTTTGTAGCAAGATATAGGAGCTTGTTTAAGTAAACAATTCCTTAATATTGATGAAAAAAATACTTATTTGGTAGATTATTTTACTTATAACATGGGAGAAATGAAATAATCTGCCTTGGAAGTATTTTTTTATCAATACGAAGGAATTATATCAGATATAAAGGAATATATTACAATATATTCTAAACAAACTAAACATGCAATAATTTAATTAAGCAAATAAAAAAGGGATGTGTAAAACGTAAAAACGATTTTAAGATTTGCAGTTTAAGTGTTAACTAGAAAAGAGGTGACAAAATTTAGTCAATTTTGAGCAATAAAATCAGGATTTAGGTCACTCTTTTGTAATCAAGTTTAATAAATTAATTAAAAGCAGCAAAGTCAGCTGTAGATTAGAGGTGGAGCTTCAGGAGAATGCAGCTTGTTTTTATTTAAAAATAAATAATTGGTTCTATTCATAACATTTTCAATTGTAAGAGGATTTTTAGTTTCTGCAATAATTTTGAACTAAGTAAATGTAAAGTCTCCATCAACATCAACAATTCATTGTTGAAGTGAATTCAGGGGCCACACACAGTCAGTTAAGGGGCCGCAAAAGGCCCCCAAACCACACTTTGGAAACCCCAACTTAAAGCAAGCTCCTCTATCATATTGAAAAGTTACTTGTAAGTTAGTTTAATCTAATGTAAAATGTCTAGATAAAAAAATACTTGGAAAGACTTTGTGATTTTGCGGTTCACATAAATAAAACAAATCACTTTAACAAATAGCTTTTTCTGTAGCCTGTTGCAGATCCGGGCTCCCTGGAGGAGCGGCTGCTGTGTGTGGAGATCACTGAACTGCACCTGTGGCTCATCCAGGACATAATGAAGGAAGTGGCTTCCATCGCCAGCTTTGTCAACTTCCTGCCGCTCGGTAACAGGGTGAGCGAGTCCAACACTTTCTGAGATACTTTTTAAACAGCGATGTGATGATTGGAAAACTTGTTTATTGTTTACTAACCAAGTTGTATAATACTTTAATACTTTCAGTTGTAGTTTTGTCCCTATTTTTGCTTGATGTGATTATTTAGAGTCCAAGTTGAGCATATTTATGAATTATTTCACACGGCATGCATTGCTGAAACACACAAGTTTTATTAAATTAGCTGACTGGAAGTTTACAAATACTTCACGCCACTTATTTCTTGAATTATTCGTTGTAGTTTGTATTTATTACACTCTACATCTATTTTTAAAATGCTGTTGCTCTTAAACAATATTTTTTCTACTTGGTGTTCTGTTTAGATGTTAATTAAAAACATTATTTTGCCTCAGATTTGCGTTGAGATGTTCGACTCCACCGGCGTGAAGAAGGTGGTGGAGGAATTCGCCTCCAGAAAGAAGTTATCGACACACAAGATCTGGTATGTTTGAAAAGAAAACAGTGAAGAAAATGGAAATACTTACACATCTACTTAGGATGAAGCTCTGTGGAGACTTTTTAGTAGAATAATTGTTGATAAATTAAAAGAAAATATATTACTGTTCTGTAACCTTTCCCTTAACATAATTTTAAAATTAGAAAAAAAAAAATTTAAAAGGAAAATAATTTAGGAGTTAACATTTAAAACGTGCTTTAACAGATAAAGTTGAAAGTTTTCTGTTCTTGAAAGTCCTGCTCTCTCTCGCTCTCCCACAGCCGTTAATAGCAACAGATTTTTAAATCGTTGCTCATGTTGTAAGTAGATATTTTTTGAGGAGTCACATTGAAAAGTGTTGTTGGCGCCATCTGATGGTGTTTAGATGCGGTGCGTTCTAAAATCTGATGTTGGATTTTTTTTTCAGTGTTTTTTTTATAATTTTGGACAAATGTCATCTTAAACAAAAAAATGTAAATTAAAAAATGTTTTTTTGTTTTTTCACTTGATCCACCATAAATTTAGGCAATTTTTGATTGCAAATATATAAAAAGCACCAACGTTTCCATTTTTTAAAATGTTTTTATTTTTATTTTTATTTTTTGCTTGACAGGAGCAGAGTTGGACATGTTGAGTCGTGAGTATTTTCTATTCAGTTTCTTCATGTGCAAAAATAACAGTAGGAAATGTGTTGGCCTTTAAAAATTTTGCAAAAATAAACTAAAAAACTACATTTAATTTTTATGTTAGACACGTTTAACTTCTAAGAGATATTTTTTTTCATGCAATTACTCAAATTTGTACAATTTTCTTCTTTCCCCTCTGTGAAATTAAGGTTATATTTTTGCATTAGTCAAACGTTTAATGTTTTATTGCAGTTCGAAGGACCTCAGGAAGCGTCTGCAGTGCTGTAAGATGACGACCTGTGAACTTAAGGAGTCTGCTAAAATAACTTCGTCAGTTTCCAAACCTGGACCAAAAGGTGCCAAAACTCTAAATGTTTACAAACTTGAAGTTGAAAGATTTCCTGAGCAAACATTTAAACAGTATTAGTTTATACAGTAATATTAAATCAATTAGAATATACATCCAGATGATTCTTGTTTACAGAGTTGGGTTGTAACTAGTTACATTTACTCAATTACATTTACTGGAGTAACTTTAAACATGTTTTAATTAAGCTAACGATCTGTAAGTATATCCACCCAAAGCTCCTCAAGTGGTGTAATTTTTGTTTCATCCAATTAAAATTCTGTAAAAAAAAAAACTAAACAAAAACGAGATCTCCTATTAGCACGTTTTCTAATAATCGGCTAATAAACAATAATGACTATATCAAGCCTGCAATGTATTTTAGCTGCAGATGCATTTTGGCTGCACATGATCAACCAGGCACTAAAGGAATGCTCTTATTGCAGTTTAGGTCATTAAAACTTTTACTTTATTTTTTAAATAAGGAATTGAAATATTTGCATGTTTTAATGTATTTCTGATGTTGTATAAAATAAAAAAATCTGCAGAATGTGCAGTAATTTTCAATTAATTGTCATTATAATCGATAGAATAATTGATTACAAAAATATTTTAGTTGCAGCTGTAGTCTAATGTAATTTCAATAGCTGTAAGCAGAAAAGCATCATGATTGTTCGTAGAGTTACTGAAATTAATAATATTATCGCTTATTGAATGGGTCTGTGTGTCTGTTCTTCTTCCTCAAAAATCCTATAATAATCTGTGAAAACTCAAAATTCATTTTACACTATTTTTAACTATTTGGTTGGTTGTCTTTGTGTGTTTGCTGATAAAACAAAACCAGCATTCAGAGCAACAAATTGACTCATTTTTGTTTAGATCTGATCAAATGTAATCCTGTCTTTGTTTCCTGAAGTTCCTGTGAGTGAACAGAAAACTCAGACAGAAGCTCCTCCAGCAGCCGCCGGCGTCGTTTCCCTCACACTGACTGGAGCGTCCAAACAGCGGCCTGCTGCTGCTTCTTCCTCCTCTCCCTCAGCTACGGATCGCTCCCTGACCGTGGGAGAGAGGCTGGAACATCTGCTGCTGCCACAAAAAATTAGTAAGAAATCTGATTATGCAGTGAAAAAAATTCAGTTTTCCTCTTTTACTAACCTTCTCTTTGCATTACAGGCTGCCTTGATGAAAACGCTGTCAAATCACCAAAAGTAAGGTTCCTTTCTTTTTTCCTAAGCAAAGTTTGTCCTCATTAATAAGAGGTGATGGAGGTTGTTGAGGAAAATAAATATTCTTAGTGTTTAATACAGGATTAGTTTGGATAACATCTTAGAGGGCTTTAAGTTAGCCCTGCAGAAAAGAATCTGTTATCGGGGAGGAACCATAAGTTAACTCTGGCAGCGAGGAGACATCTCACGTCATCTCCCTCAGAGAAACACGAAAACTTAAGGAAAAACAAACTAACGACACATAATAGTTTTAATAACTGCAATTTAATTAGTAAAATACCATTTAGTTCAAATTAACATGACTTGAACTAGTCTAACCTAGGCCAAACATAGTACCAGTTAGTTAAACATAATCAAAACTAGCATAACATTAATTAGAAAATGTTTAGAATGAAGGTGTTTATATTGAAAATGCTCAGGGATATTCTATAAGTGTTTTATTCTTAAAATCTGTGCTTTGATCTAAGAGGATGCAGAAGTTCTGGACCACTTTGCGTACCAGGCTTCATGTCAATCTAAAATTACTGCACTCATCTGTATTTGTAGGAATTTACCCAGCAGGGAAATAAAATAGGTCTAACTTTTGGTTTAACTCTGGTGAAAGACTAGAGGCTTTGTTCCAACCAGGAATTAGGAGTAACATCACATTTCAAACTGGCATGAGAAGAGCTGCTCTGAATGACCTTTGGTCTCCCTTGTCTAGGTAGAGAAGCGCCGTAGCCCTGAAATTAAACAGGTCTCAGAAGGTAATAAAATTGACCCAACTGAGTAATTTCATACCAGTTGTAGCCGTATTAGGAGAACAACACGCCTTAATTGCAGAAATTAAAGCAAAGAAAACACAATTTTGAATAAAACTACGAATCGGATTTGCTATTTGCAGCCGCCTGGCAATCTCCAAAAAACGTGTTTTTTTTGTTTGTTTTTTTTTTGTTTTTTTTGCCTTTTTCCTGTTTTTCTATTTCCTACTTTTCTACTTGTCTCAGGTAAATGAATGTCTGTTTCAGTGTGTTTGAAGTGTCTGTGTCGTCGATGTGATTTTATACATTTTAGAAAAAAATGTTGGAATAAACTCTGAACATGTATGATGTGGAGCCCTGACTGTTATCTCTATGTGGCTTTTGTTTCCACACATGGCATCACTGAATCCAGGAGAACAAGGGAATATAACGAGCCAGAAAGTTAATGATTAATATTCTCTTACAAGGTCCAAGCACTTTTCCCCTGATTCATGTCATTAAAATGAAATTAATCTATTGTGTGATATCTGGCTCAAACAGGGTCTGACAAAATTTCCTGAAACCACAAATTGCTTCTGAAGCGATAAGTAATCAAATAACTGAAACAATATTTGTAAAATAGTTTTTATATATTTTGTATTTATTTTGCTTTTATTTTAATGTAGCTTTTTTTTCTATTTTTATGTATTTATTTAAACTTTTTCTTGTTTTTTTTTCTCAAAATTTTGACAATTTTCTGGGATAAAGTCAGAATTCTTTTTTTTTTTTTTTTTTTCAGTGGCCCTAATGTTCTTCCGTACCACCCCATTCCTAACAAATGTATTCCATGTGGAATATGTTCGAGTTCTGATTTTTCCAATGTTTTTTGTGGGACCGACCTGCCGCTACAGTAGAAGATATTAAGTTTTTTTGCACGCCTCTGCCACACATTTAACAAATTTCTTTGTCCCCGTGTCTTTGAAACGCTCAGAAAACCTTAATATATATTTTTCCTCTTCAGTTGTACATAAATCTGTGTACGAGTGCTCTTAAGATTTGTTTATTGTAAATGTACTGTCTAAATGATTTCTCATAAAGCAGACTTGGAGGCATATTGACACTCAAACATCCTTCCTTGCGAACTGCTAACCATCTTTGTGCAACTTTGTTTCTCCCGTTTGTTTTATTCTAGTCTAATTCAGTTTACACAAGGCTGCTGTTAATAACAAACCTGCCAAAGTATCACGACGGCTGCTACACTGAGAGCGACATCGCAGATCTGCTCGGATTTGAATACATGGAAAAAAACATCTACGTGATTCCTCAGGCATGCATGGTAGGCCTGACTTTATTTTACTTTAACTCTGCATAATCTTTATCCTGATTAATTGTTATAATTGATTACATTTTTTTTATTTCAGGCTTTTGTGCTCGTGCCCAATCATCAAGCTGCGCAAGAAGCTTCCCAAAAAGAATCCTTGACTCTAAACGGACAGAAACTCTGCGTCCGGATTGTCATCAGCAAGATTTTTATGGCTCCAGTAAGTAGGTTTAATGTAGAGAACCTTTATTGTGGTTTAATTAATAATTATGTTCATTTGAATAGTTTGTGTGGCCCATTAAAGAGCGAGAAGTTTGATATATTTGCTGGAGAACTTCTTCCATAGCAGTAAGGCCCAAATATACGGAACCCCATAAGGACCATAGGTGGAATTCTTTTTGTTGCCTAGCAACAGTGTTACATTTCCACTCAGTACTTTTCCGATCCATCACAATACTAAAAGTCTTTCTGCTACAACAGTTGTGTCCAAAACTTCTTCATTTTGTGGCCTAAAATGTCAAGCTGAAGCGACTCACTGTTTTTTTTTCCTTTGTAAATATAATTATAAATAAGATTCAACTTTTTTTTTATTTTAGCAACAAGAACAGGATGTGACACAATCTTGCTTAATTTTGACAGTTTCTTAAATGGCTGCGCTTAACACTGCATTTTAGAAAAAAACGACTGGATGTTTTTGGTCACTATTGCTAATAAATTAAAAACGTGGATGAAGACTTTAACCTCTAACTCAGAAACATAAACATGACAGAAACGTTCAAACAAACGGATGCTGAGTAATCCTTGTTACTCGATTCTGTTCTTGTTTCAGTTTGAATTTTATAAATCTCTGATGGACCTGGTCGGATTTGTAAGTATCTACACCTTTCTTCATAAATGTAACTTAAAAAACTGTTTTACTGTTTAATCATAGTCTTGAAATACAAAAGGAAATTTTTGAAAAGGACATTTAAAATTAAAAACTGACCTGATTAATTTTGTATGTCTGCATTTTCTGCAGTGGATAATAAGAAATCCTTTAAAATTTTGTTTTGCCTTTAATGTGACACATATATTGTACAATTCAACTGAAAAACAAAGACTTACAAGAAAAAACTATCAGAAATGTTATTTTTACTATTTTCTCCACAGTTTTTTCAATAAGAGTATCAATAATTAGAAATATGAATATATTTGAAAATGTGAATAAATGCAGTTAGTGTGAGCAGTTTAGTGACACAAACCACCTGTTTAAATGGGACATATTATGGCCAAGTTTTTCAACTTCCGTTTCTACTACTTCTAAAAAAACAACCCAAGAGCTTAGAAAAATTACCCAGCTGTTTCTTGACAATAGGTTAATGCTTTTGGTGTCTGGAAAACAAGCCATTTCACAATTGGGAAGGCACTGACCCTCCTCACCTTGCAGCCCCAGCAAAACTCCAGCCCTGTTACCTAGCAACCTCAGCAAAATTCCAGCCCTGTTACCTAGCAACCCCAGCAGAGCTCCAGCACGTTTTGTCAGCTGGTTTTACTGCTTTATTTGCTGCACAGTGACTGATGGTAAAGAGGAAATAAAAGTCCATGATTTACTGATTTTTAAGTTATTTTTCTTGGTCTCATTCAAAAACGATTTTTACTGGTGTTTTCATTTAAGATGGTGTTTCTCCATTCCAGTCCTCAGGCCCCCTGCCCTGCATGTTTTAGGTGTTTCTCTTGTGCCACACCTGGATTGAATCTGTGGCTGATTGACAGACTTGTACAGTACCTGAGGCTGCAGAAGAAGTCATGCAGTCATCTGAGTCAGCTGTTCTGGAATAGAGGCACATCTCAAACATGCAGAGCAGGAAGGCCTGAGGACTGGAATTGGGAAGCTTTGATTTAAGAGAATAACCTCAATGAATATTAAAAAAATAAAATAAAATTAGTGAACAGTTGCATAAAATTTTTTGCGTAAGCATTTTACTTTTTTCCTTGAGCAGCCGGTCACTGATGATGGAACCAGAACCATCTACATCAAAAACATCTCACCGAGCGAGACCCGGGACCTCAGGGAGACGCTGCGAAAAATCAGACATGTTACAAACTACCTTCCTCTGCTCAACAAGGTAGGAACAAACACACTCCTCCTACAAACACACTTGTTAAAGTAAAATGCATTCAGTCTGACTCCGCTGTGTGGCGTTTTTATTCATTTCATTGTTCAGGTGTTTATAGAGTTCAAGTCCGGCCGCGATGCTGATCGGATCGGAGTTTGGTACAGCCTCCTGAAGCGCTGCCCTGCTCATAAGGTCTACAGGATGAAACTGCCCCGAAGCAACAGCACATCTCTGCGTAAGGCTCAAATATTCTTATCTACTTATTTGTTTTAAATTTAAGGAAATCCTTGTTTATGTTTGGACAGTGAAGAAATTATTACAGTAACAATAACAGCTGGAATAGATGGAAGAATCTAACTGTGGAAAAGTGTCACAATTCATTGTTTACAAATAAAAATGAGGTTGAAAAAATTGCATAAATTAAATAACCATAGCCTGAATATTTAAACCAGCCGTGTTGCTGTTCACTTGTTTCTCCTGCAGCACCCAAGATGGCTCCAAACGCTCTGCCAGACGCCAACATCGTCACCGGGGCGGTTGCCCCGGTAACAAACTGCGGTGTTCCACAGGGCAGCTCGCCACCATTTTCAGTTACCTTGACGACCGATCCTTATGTCTTCCCGACCGAGTCTCCTTGGTTCATCATCCCAAGTAAGGGGAAGTTAAGAATCAAAAGTATTCAACCTCTTTTTTTATTGGCTTTTAAAACTCAATCATTATCAACAAAACTGGCTTTTTTGACAAAAAAAGAATGCTTCAAATAAAAATCCTTTGTCAGCAAAATCTTATTTCTACAAAGTAAAAATATCACACAAATATTCTTAAAGTGAAAGATCAATCTACTAAATGAAGGGGGTGAATATGGAGTCACTTATTTTATCTTCCGTAAATTTATTCATCATTGTTTTGTAGAAATTAATGTCGAGGGTTTTTTGTTTTATTTTTCGTCAAAAAAGCCAATTTTGTTGATCATGACTGATTTGTACAAGCAACAAAAAAGGGTAAAACCTATAAAGAGGCGAATTCTTCTTATAGGCACTGTAAGAAAACAGTATTTCTGAAAAAGTGACTCTTGTGTTTTTGCTGTATAGATTTTACCACAATCGCAACCAAGAAGAACTTGTGGGTAAGAATTTTTATTTACCTTTTTTATATTTTACATCCCAAAAAGTCAGGTTTAAAAAAAATACATGTATACTCTTTATTCAGCTATGATAAGTAAATTTCTCCTGAAAAATCTCAATGTGTCATGAAAATAATGCAGACACCTGCCAGTAAGGGCCCCGGGGCCTCCGTCATCATGCTGACGGGTTTACCTGAAGGAAACTACAAACACGAAGACGTCGCCAAGCTGGTGTGGAAATATTTCCCCAAGCAGAACCTTCGGACCCTCTACTACAACATCGTGGTCCTCCCTCTGCAGAGGAGGGTGAGAAAACGGACCCTGCTGTTCCTCCTTTACAGCGCTTCTCCAGCTTTCTCAGGAGCACTAAACCCATTTAACAAACACTAACTTGAAATTTCCCCGCAATAACACAACATCTTAATAGAAAGCTATCAAAACAAACTCTGTTTCATTTTAGACCTGAAATAAAAATCCACTAAATATAAAAATTTGAGAACGACTGCTCCATTACTATAAGTGCGTTTTGACTTTATGCTTTCATTGTGCTTTAGGCTTTTGTTTTCTTCACCGACTGGACGTCGTGCTGCAGTTTTGTTGAAGATTTCTTCAAAAATCCGGCTTCCATCAAAGACTCCAAGCTGTTTATCCACCAGGTTTTACAGGAAATGCTTTCTGGTCACACTGAGGTAAATCTGCCCCTGGGTTCTCCTGATTAAAGCTAGGACTGGACGATAAATCAATAACAATATATACTGCGATAGACACATGATCAATATCAATAGAATGTCCAATAATTTCACTGAACTCTGATCCAGAACCGCACAGATTTCTGCGGCATTTAGCCAGAAGAAAGATTTTAGCTAAGCTAGGTTAGTGGAATCCACTAACTCACTCACTCTGTGGTTACCTAAGCAACAACCTGCTGAGTAACAACCACCACAGCAGTTTAATGTTTCATCATTGATCCATATAACTCCTTAAAAATAAACAGCAGCAGTGAGGAGTAAAACTGTGGATAAAACCAGCAGTTTTTTATCTACTGAATTTTCAGGCCTTTGTTATTTTACTACTAAAGTATTGGGCTGGGAATCGACTGTATCTGATTTTGATCTGTATTGGGAATAGAACATATTTCTGGGTGGAATCCATAACAATCAAGATGAACACAAACATTTGGAATATGTCGCTCTGTGTATATTAGATCCCTTTTGAATGAACTTTTCAATGACAGTGCATCTGTATTGAACTCATCATGCTATGTATGAAAATGAAACGTAAACAGTTTTTGTTTTGATCGTTTTTTCGCAGGGGGTCATGTACAGAAATATGATGAAATGGAGCAATGCGGTAAGAAGTCTCTCTTCCTTGATCGACGGCCTCCTCCTTCTGATCCCGTTTTTGACAAACCGTCTGTGGTTTTCTAGCACGTTCCGGAGCTCGAGGGTCTGGAGGAGCGGCTGGTCGTTGTGGTGATGGCCAACATTTCTGTGTACCTCATCATAAAGGTTGTGGAGAAGGTGGAGTCCATCGCGCCGATCGTCAGCTTTCTGCCGCTCGCCAAACGGGTACGACGACGCAAACGCCTCCACTGACGTTTGATAATGTTTAGCGATCGATCAATCAAGTTTATTTACAAGGCAGGTCAAAGTGCTTTACTTTGTGAAAACATAAGAAAAAAACCTCATCATAAACATTTAGTCAACAGTTGTGAAAAACAAGTAGCAGATGTTGCATTTTGTCAAGTTCCATCGTTGAAACAATAAACATCAAACATATTGATCGATTGTTTCAAAAGAAGCTTCAACCAGGTGGGTTTTTAGTCTAGATTTAAAGGAGCTCAGTGTTTCAGCTGTTTTGCTGTTTTCTGGAAGTTTGTTCCAGATTTTTTCGTGCATAGAAGCTGAATGCAGCTTCTCCATGTTTGGTTCTGCTTCTAAAAAAAATCTGATGCGTTTTGGGCCGTTTGTTGTGTAAAAGTGCTTCTTCGTTCTTTTTGTAAATGTTTTTATTTTTCTTATCTTAAACTTCTTTTCATTTTCTTTTTTCTCGTCTTTTTATTTGAGATACGTAACATGACAATCTCTTCTCATCCTAAATCAAAGCACTCACAAATAAATAGTTTCCTGTTTTAATGTGCATGAATGTGTTTCTGTGTCAGATTTGCATTGAGATGGTAGATTCAAGCAGCGTCACTAAAGTGCTGGAGAATACTGATAAAGATTGGTGCGTATTGTAGCAAAGGATTAACTTTTTTTTTTACTGGTTTCATTCATCACTTCTGGTCTAAACTGTTTTGTTTTTCCCTGCACAGGCCAAACATCCAAAGCCTTGAATCGTGAGTATTTTATTTTTAACTGCGTTATCAGTGACTTACTGTAGCTGTTAAAACGTTTACATTTTGTTCATCTTTATTGAAGAATCTTTTTATTTTATTTTATTACATCCTTGTTTAATTTCAGAGTGAAGAGCCTGAAGCAGCGTCTCGACGAATCTGCTAAGATCACAGTAAACCTGAACCTGGACGGCGAACGTGTTGGGACTAAAACTCCAGCTGTAAACAGTGAAGCTCAGCTTCCTGTTGCTGCTGCTTCTGCTGAAAAGACACAGCCTGGAGTCCAAGGACATGTCGGGTGTTCTGCAGAAACGTCCGGTGTTTTCTCATTAGACAAAGAAAACGTATCGTCAGAAACAAAAACACCTCAAACCTGTAAGAAGGCTGTGGCTGAAACAGAAGCTAATATGAAAGAAAAGGCAGAAAAAGCTGAGGCAGAGAACAAAAGCGCGTCCTCCAGATGTACCGCTTCAGAAAAACAAGTGGGTATCTCCGAAAAGGTTCGAGAATCTGCAGAAAAGACGACGAAAGCGAGAAGTGAAACGGTGACTAAAAAGATGGAAGCGGCAGAAGCAGCTAAAGACGTTCAGCCACAAGTTAGCGACGATGATAAACCAGCAGAGCTGAAGGAGATGGACCAAACGGAGGTCAAACGTTCTGGTGAAGCCAAAGAAGAAGTGAAACCCGGCAAAAATCCGCCATTAACAGAGAAAACTGCAAATAATGAAACTTTGACTGGTCCATCTCAGACCACAGTAAAAACCCAGCAGCAGAAAACGGGAACCTCAGGTACTTTTAGCTGCAACATTAGTTTATTAGAGTAAATTAAACTACAGTTTGGGTTTAAATGTGAAGTATTTTACTACCAATTGAACGTACTTTTTAAAAAAAGTTATTATTCAGAGAAGTTACATAAATTTTATGTTTAAAAACTGCTTTTTCTTTGAGTCAGTAATTGACAAACTAAAGTTCTTAGAAGCTTTTTTGATACATAAACATTTTTTTTAGCATATAAGGACCAGAAAGTTTCAGCTGTGACAACTGAAGTTCCTGCATCTGACAAAACTGCTGCCACAAATTCACCTGATTCCCGTTTAACTCCTGGAGAAACGATTGAAAATTCCCTGAACATGACAACGATTTTCAGTTAGAACTGCAGAGCCCAGCGATATCTGTTGAATCGTTCCAGTTCGGCTCTTTATTAATCTCTGGCTCTTGTTAACAGGCTGGCTCTCTGCGCGCAGCTCTCCAACAGTAAGTATGCTTAAGCTCTGCTCTTTATGAAATCCTTTTTGAAACACATTTTTAAAAACATGTTAGGGGTTTACATAAAAAAAATGTAAACATAAGAGGCTTTGTTTGGGTTTCTTTCCTGTCTTTTCTCGTTGTTCATTTGAGGAAAAGCTGTTTTTTTTTTTTTTTTTTTTTTCATTCTGTTTGTGCTGATGTATTTGCGTTTGGGCTCTGTAGTTATCACCTCCATGACTTTATTGTCCTGATTCAAAACATGCATCAGAAACTGATGGAATAATCTACAAACTTTAAGCAAGTTCAGAAGTTAAATAGGGCTGGACGATATGACTGAAAAATATATCACAATAAAAGCGTTTTATATATTAGTTTTAAATATCTAAAATACTGCCAAACTGAAGACGTGTTATGGGGCAAAATCTTAAACTGCTGCTGTGCCAGTTCCTCAGCAAGTCGTTGCTAGGTAACCAAGGAGTGAGAGAGTTGTTGCTAGGTAACCAAACAGTGAGAGAGTTGTTGCTACGTAACCAAAGAGTGAGTGAGTGATTTGATTCCACCAACCTGGCTTAGCTAGCCTTGAGAGTTCAGTGAATATTGTCTACACAGAATATGAAATAATCCATCAGACGTATTATTGATATAGATCACACGATTTATATATATATTGTTATAGATTTATTGTCCAGCTCTACGACCAAAGTAGGGATAGTGAAGCCGCCGGTTCACACGGTGAAAATTTATGAGGGAATTTGTCCAGTTAAACATAGCAGCAGTGAAGAAGCAGCTGAATGAAAAATTGAAATAATTTTGAGAACAATGGCACATCTTTGTACCTGAAATTTCTCTCCAAGCTCATATTTCACATGTGAAGCTTGAAAGAGAAGTAAAAATGATGCTAATCCCTCATTTAGCTCAGACACCAAGAAAGTTGCTCCTGTAGATAATTCATGGCTATGAAATCAACAGATTTTGACTTTTCTGAATGAAGTCTTCAGAAAATGACTGTTTTTTTTTTTTTTAACATCCTGAATGCAAAGGGGAAACTCAGTTGCAGCTGTTAAATTGATAATGCTACGTATAATAATTCCTCCTAAATGTTAGTTGCTGTAGAATAAAGTTTTTTATCGTTTGTCTCCAGTTGCGTTCTCTCTCAACGATTCTGGTGATCCAGAACCTGCCGGAGTTTGGTGATGGCTGCTACACAGAAGCTGAAGTCATCGCTCTGCTCCAGACGTTTGGCATTCAGTGTAACGAAGACAGAATTTTCATCCTTCCTCCATCTCATATAGTAAGTGCCATTCTTTCTTTATTGTCTCAATAGATTTTTCTTTTTTTGTCCTGTTAACTTTTTAGTTTGTTTTCCTTTCAGGCGTTTGTTGTTTTTCCAGATTTAGAGGCAGTGCAAAAACTGACGTCATGGAAGGAGGACATCCTCTTCAAAGGGTCCAAGCTCAAATTCGGTGTCATTAAACGCAAAGAACCATCGAATTTAGTACGTTTTTGAGATGTGCTTGAATCAAGAAAACGTTAAATCCCCATGATGTTACCGTCAACAATAATACAACTTGGCTCAACAAACATAACTATGGCTGCAGATCACATTCAGATTTTTATTTTGTTTCCTTCCAGTTTGGCGTTTATAAATTCTTGAGGAGTTTCACCAGATTTGTAAGCATCTCACGACACACTGACTCATTCCATTAACTCATGCAGATAAAACCACAAAGAAAGTATCGGTTTACCACGACTCAAACATTTACAGCAGCAAACCAATCCTTTTGTTGATCTTCTCTAACAGCATCTGCAGAAAAACTGCATTTGGACAGAAGTGGTTTACATCCAGAACATCTCAGTAAATGAAGTCAAAGATCTTAGAGAAAAGTTGCAAGAGATTGGGAGTGTCGCAAACTACCTGCCGCTGCTCAACAAGGTAAAACACAAACACTCTCGATTGTAGATGTTTGTGTGAAAATGTGACCTTTCTGTTTTGGGCGTTTCAGGTTTTTGTTGAATTTCAAACTTTTTTTGACGCTGATCGGATTGGAGTTTGGCACAGCTTCCTGAAGGATCGGCGCTCCTACAAAATATACAGGCTGGGGCTGCCGGTGTCAACCTACAAATCACAGCGTGAGTCTTATAACGCTGAAGTGAGACAACATAAACCATTAACTAATGGGCTAATTGTGTAAAGGTCATTGTGTGCAAGTCAAAGAAACTGGAGGAATATTTCTCTTGACTTTGCAAAAAACAGGTGGTAAGATATCTTTGAAAAGGTGGAACGGCTCCATCAATTCCATGGGCAAGCGGCAGCTTTATTAGTGAAGTGTATTAATGGGGGTCAGAGATGGTGGATTTGAATATCATGAAGAACTTTAAATCAGTAATTCCATTCAAAAAGTAAAATTTGTATATTAAAGTCATTCGTTAACAGACTGAGTATGTAACGAATATATTATACAAGTTAAATTTTTTTCATGATATTCAAATTTTTAGAAAAAAAAATTAAAATTCCCCTCTCACCCTCTGTGGGTGGTCTCTTTTCATCCTCTGAGCTCGGGTCCTCTACCAGAGGCCTGGGAGCTTGAGGGTTCTGCGCAGTATCATATATATATATATATATATATATATATATATATATATATATATATATATATATATATTTTTTTTTTTACTCCCAGCTTTTTGGGAAAAGTCTACAATGAAAGGGATAAAGGTAAGAGTTTTTTTTTCTGTTGACGGGATTTCCATACTGTCTTCACTAAGTTATTCTGTTATTTTGCTCCATTTGATTTTGTTCATTTTAAATGGCTTTAAAAAAGTTTAATCTGCAGCAGTTTATTGTAGTTGTTGTTATTTATTCATTTATTTATTGAATAATTAACTTTTCTATCTCGATTCCTGTAGAAATGTATGTCGAAAGGTTTCAAGGAGCCAAAAATCATGATGACCGGTTTGTCAAATGAAACCTACACACACAAGAACGTAGCGGCGCTGGTGTGGAAATACTTTGATGTGCAGAATCGTCACGCGCTCTTCTACAATGTGATGGTTTTACCGCTACAGAAGAGGGTAAAGAAATACTGACGTTTGTAACATTTCTGACTCGTGGAAAATGGTTCTGATGTGACTGTCTTCTCATTTTTCCTCCTGTAGGCGTTCGTGTGCTTTCAGAGCTGGCGGGCTTGCTTCACCTTTTTTGGAGATCACTTCGTAAAGCCAATTACCTTCAAAGGCTCCACTGTCTACGCCTATTTGGTGCGGAGTGAGCTCCCCATTCCAGATGACGAGGTATTAAAACTTAGAGGTCCCACAGATGATTTGATATACCACCTCAGTGTTTGGCACTTTTCTGCTAATATTGGAAAAAAAAATTTTGTTTATCACTTTTGCACATTTATCGCACTTAGCTTCCCCTAAATAATTTTTTTCAGATAAATTCTAAAGTGTTTATTTACTTGGTTGTTTTGCAATCTTTCAGTTTAATAAAGTTCAACTTCTGTGAAGTTTTTATCATCAACTGTTAATTTTTCAAGTTTATGCTCTTATTTTGAAGTGGATGAAGAGTTCTTTTTTCCCCCCACCATTATCTGTATTTGATGCAAGAAACATACAGAAATAAAATAAAATACCGAGACTGGATAACAATATAAAGATAAATACAATATCTAAGGGAAAACATTTAAATTATAATGTCAAAATTCAATTGGTGCTCTTTCAAAGGCAGATATAATTTGAAAACAAGTTAGCGCTTTAGCATTAGCTTCTGCCAAATACTGCATTGGTTTAGTGCTTTTGTGTT